CGGAAGACGAATTCAGATCTCAAATAAAATTGTTGCCACGTCGCCTTAATGCACATGCCTTATAGCGAAGAAGCGAAGTGGTGCGAAGTTCCACACCTTGTTTTAGACATCCCTATCGATTCGTGCTTAATGATTTCTCTACGTTAGTATTTTAACCACGGTATCGCAGCATCGTGCACTTCACACCTCATTCCTTCAGTTTCTGATTGACCATAAGCAACATCATTGAGAAACTTGAACTGGTATAGCGCATTACGGGGAAGAAGAAACGGCCGAGCAGACCGACACAAGAGGACAGAGCGCTAACTTCCAACTCAGTTGGAAGTTAGCGCTCTGTCTTCTTGTGTCGGTCTGCTCGGCCGTTTCTTCTTCCCCGTAATGCGCTATACCAGTTCAAGTACGACGAACCAACTCGCCCAATCTTCAACACTCGTGATCATTGAGAAAAAAATGCTCAGTCGTAGTATCAATACTCTCTTTTAAACTATCAATATGACTTAACGCCCTCTCTAGGATGAAGTAAGCTTTGTTGAAATTGACTCTGTTTTTTTTTTCACTGAACCCACTGTTACATCTCACACGCATTGTCGTGGCACGATTGTCCGCAGACCAATGCTGGCCCTTATTTGAGAACACAACTCGGGCCCCGCGCAGTTGTCCGCCGCTGCCGCCGCCGCCGGTGTCCGTAACCACATCGCGCGAAATTAGAAAACCTAGCACCCAAGACACATTGGGCTCGAACCACGGGTCTGCTGGGTACCAGCCTATTATTCTACCACTGAGATACGCTGGTGCTTGTGATTTGTTGGCGAAGTTGCCTTAGGCAGTCTTGATGTTTGGAAAGGAATCACGTTGTATGACTTATGAAGCGTTTTAAAACAGCGAAAGAACAACCAGTCATCGCACAATGCGAATAGATTAACGAGTGGGCCGTCCAATTATCCAACCCATTACAAATGCTTATTCTTGTTCGGCTATTAACTGCGGCGCATACCTACTTCAGGCATAATTCATCATTGTCGTCAGTCACTGCATGAACAAGTGGCACAAACTTCTTTGCAAGTGATTAGCGGATACCATGCTTCGCAGAAAAATTACGAAAATAGCACAACGAATGCCGGCCAACTACCAAGAAATTTTCATTATTAATTCCGTAGTGTGCTTGCAGCAGTTACCCAATGAGTGTCTAGAAAAGGCTCTGAAAGGTCGATCTTCTAGCTTTCGTTGTGACTGGGCTGCGCCTTCCGTGCAGGCCTGGCGTTTTTTTTTTTCTTTTTTCATTTCGCAGTTTCAGCATAGCTGCTGAAATCATGTCGTACGACCTGAAAGGGCACCGCGTTGGACGTAAGCAATACATTTGATTCAATTACGCGTTCTGGATTTACGCCAGAAGGACGTCTGCACTTTTTTTTTGTTTCCAATAGGGCCGTGGCCTAACTGGGGAAGTTGTAATGATCTCATCTTTAGCCATTTTATTTTGCATTGGCCTTTGAAAAATTAAGGATGGTAAGTTTTATTTAAAATTGACATAAACGCTGATAGAAGTTAGCAATGCCTAGTAAACGCGATAGTACGGAGGAAAAGAACGAAACAGCAAGAGCGAAAGTGACTCAATCAATTTCAAGCGCACGTCCGTGCTCGGAAAGCAAGTCACGTCCAAACTTTTGCTCATGACTGTATTTTATCGCAGACATCGCGCTACGGTTCAAGCTGAGGCTATCTTACTTGCTTGTCCTCCACTACGAACAGCCGGTATTGACGATGCAAGTAATACAAAATATCCACACAGCCCTTCATGCATTTGGCAAGATGGCTGGAAGCCGAACGCCATATTCTTTTTCTTCCTTTACATCCAAATGCCTTGTATTCACCCGCCGCCTCCCCACCTCGGATCATGTATTCAATGCAAAACCAAGTAAGGTGCTTGCAGCACCTTACGTATTGAATCCGTGATCCGAGGCATTGCAAGGTTTTTGCACCCCACATTGTGTAAAAATCCATGATCGGAGGCAGAGCATTCATGATCGGCCCACCTTTGGCCAATCGATGATCTAGTATGATGATGTCCTGTTGTAACATAAGCATGACGTAATACATACGTCACAATCACTGCCCAGGGGCACGCCATCGATGGCGTAATGTTACATTGAAGTTTACACCAACTGAACACACATAGACTTGGGTGTCGCATGACTTTTGAACAACCCTTATTAGCTTTTTTTTTTTTTTGCACGAATCATGTTGACGCCAAAGCAGCCGACAAGGTTCGGTGATGTATTGTCAGGGCTTACCAAATCTCGTCAGGTCTCGCCAAATCTCGAAAGCTCCTTTATACTCGTGAGACTTGTATATGGCTTTCATTTTAATAATTAAAGCGACTCGCCTAGCTTCGTCTGAATACGCAAGAGGTCCTCCACCCGGCTGGTCAGAATATACGACGGACACCTTATCAGTCCTGCACCGGCCGGCCAGCAGTCCTCGTTGTGGAGAGCGTGCGAACATAATTGGCTCTAACGCAGGTGTGGAATCCGGCGCTTTGCGGGCTGCATATTTGTACTGGACTGGCTGCCCCACTCGAGCACCTCCGTTCTCACCGGCGCCAACATATTGCGGTCTGTGCGCATGAGTGAAGACATCTGGCGGGGCTCACACCACGAGCCGCAGCGTGTCGGTTGTTCGGTGCGGTTGCAGCAGCTGCAACTGACGCCCCGCAGAAAAAAAAAATTTCCACGAACGGTGTTTAACGCCTACCGTGGTGATGTCCCTAGAGCTGAGTAGTTTTCGCATAACCTTTCTTTCTTTTGTTGTGTCTATAGACATTCCTCAACCTTGTTTAATGTGTTCTTTTTTTCGAAAAGTGAAATGAAATGACATAGGGAAACGTAGAAAGTTAGAAAACTTCACGCCTATGGCTATTCTGTTTTATGGATATGTAATAAAATGATTAGGATTACAAGCAGTAACCTTGATTTTAAAAAACAGCAAAAAAATTTAATCTGAAGGCCGTTTTAGAATGCATAAAAAAATGCGCGTAGGAGAGGCAAGGCACACTCAACCTCGACGGTTATTGAGCTTGAACTTGCGATGAGTACTCGCGAAGCAGCTCCACGCTGAAAATTGCTTTTGTGTAAAACAGATATGCTGAAAATATGTGACAAACGGCTTCAAAACACAGAAATCACCGAATGCAACACTGTTAAAATATTTTGCATTTTATGTCATATGATAACCGAGTGAAAAGGTGCAGCAATCGCTAGAAAATGGCAAGTGATCCAATTATTTTTACTTCAATATAAAAAGAAGAGATCGGCTACATGTCTGCTTGTCAGGTTGGCTTGTCGGCACGCACACAAGCATTCCAATAAAGCTTATGGTTTCCGGTAAGGGGGAGACAACGCCGAAGATGATGCTTAAATAATACCACAATTAAGTTGTTTATCATCTCCCTCTTTCTACTACATATGGTTTAATAAAAGAGGAAGTGACGTACAAAGCACGTGACAAGGGCAAAGCGTGCAGAGAGAAATGCAGTACAATATTAAAACTAACTGAGGTGTTTCGATAACAAGGAGGCGCGTACATATGGATATGCTAGATTCACCTATCATATTATAAGTACGGGAGTTTTATTGAACCACACTTTTCTATTGCTACATTCCACCAGCAATGGGACATTGTTTTTTTTTTAAGGAATGTCATGAAGGCTTTTGCCGAACGTTGTGATACTTTTGGTGCCTGGATGTCTCACTGGAACAATCTTGCTCAGAGCTACAATTGGACGTAAACGAGCTGGCTGTCTTTTACTATGTTCTCTGAGTTCATGAGTGTTACCTGATTTTCAACGATAGAATGTAATGAGATTGGTGGTCTACCTTTGCCGCAAATAGAACCCACTGATCCTATTAACAAATGGGTAACGAAACCATCAGGTTGATTTTTGCTTCGGCCTGCGAGTGCTTATCATATTTAGCGCTGTTCTAAGCCTTGGGAAAGCTTGTACGTTTAGCACAATAACAAATATGGTAGACAACATTCGGAAAGTACGGCTTTATACAAATGCTTTCTTTTCCAGCTGAAAAAAATAAATAAATGTCTGAGGTGCCTCACGGGCAATTAATGCGTGTTGCTGGTTTATAGGTTGGTTTGAACGCATTCGCTGTCCTTCTTTTTTTTCTGTTTCTGCCCGTCGTAAATATACAGTGACAGTGAGCAGCACTTGCAGTGATGATGACAGAAAATTATAGATGTGATAATACGTTGGTGGATCTAAAAAATATGAATCTTTTCTGGGACACAATAATAATAATTGGTCAATACAAGAACAAAACGCTCAATCAGTTGGTCTACACAAGCTGCAGGGCCAGTATTTCCGAAACGTTTTTAGAGTACGATCACTCGTAACGTTACGCGCGAGAGACTGCGGATTCTGAAAATATCATCAGCGAGGGTGCACACAAGCAGATTATAATTAAAATGAAAGGAGAATTCGAACCCGAATTCACGCGTGGAAGGTTAAGTCACATCTAAAGCATAAACTGTGTTCACCTGGCGTACTTTCGTCTAACCACGTTTTCCCTGGACTGAACGAATAGGCTACGCCTGACGCTGAAGCTCCCGTCCATAAGTCAGCCCCGCGCGTTGGCGTTTCATTCATAATTTACTGCGTTCCGTCGCCGACACGAGGACGCGGTGGGCGTGGCATCACAAAAGTATAGACCAAACGCCAATTACAATCCTGTTCTGCATAACGGATACAAACGAGCATCTAATCACCGGTGACGTCACCGCGAGCGCGACTGTCCGATTGGAGAAACCGTTTCAAGCTGCCGCGCGCGCGGATCGTTCCGAGTTCGGGGTAGCGCTTTCGTGGTAAGCGCGCGCGTCGAAGTCTCACTTAGCTGCACCTCACCTGCTTCTGACAAGTTCGTCCTGCGCATTAGCGGATCGCGTTGGGCCAGCCGCGCGGTCGATTTAAGCCTTCGTGTACGAGTGTTACTCACCGACGACTTGCAGGTAGCAGGCCGGAACGACGAGGTGTCTGAGAGCGGCGCTTCCCTGCCGAGCGGCCCAGGCAGACATCTTGAACGCTCTGTCGGGCGGCGCCACTCGGTCGCACATGTTGAGCCATCTGGTGGAGGGAAAGGGAAGCGCCCTTCCCCACCCACAGTCTTTCCTCCTTTCCGGTGTCCCGCTGCGGGTGACTCCATGCGCTCCCTCGACTGACCCGTAGTCTCCTCTCCCTTTCTCCTATCCTCTCTTCCCCTACTTCATCCCTCCTATCCTCCGGGCACAGTGGCAAGTTTTCTTTTGTTCTCCCCTTCCCCATTTCCTCCGTCTGCTTCCTTCCCACTTGGGAAGCATTTGCGAATCGGCGGATCGAGGGCAACATTTCGGAGGGGGAGGCGCCCCGATTTGCATCGGCAGCCCACCCACCTACCCTGTCGGCCTGTGAAAACAAACATCTAGCTTACAACGAACGGGAAAGGCCTTCTGCCGGGTGTGGGTGGGAAAACCCTCATCAAGCGGCTGTGAACGGTAGCAGGAGCAATGTTGCCCGGATTTGGGGGCTGCGAACCGACAGCTATCGGTCAAAGTTCACTGGATGCGAGGAAGTCGTTACTTCGGAACCTCGCCTCGTGCCTTGCTGCTTTTGCTGCTGCGTTCTTTTCTTTCTTTAACCCGCTTTTGTTAACAATAGCAGCTACGTTTATTTGCTCTGCTGCTTAGATTTAAGTTGAAAGTGTTAAAAGTTTGCCAACTGGTTGCGTGTCCTTTGATAACATTTTTATTCGTGAGAAAGCTTGTGTTCTTTTATTCCTTGGGCTGTCTTTTCATGCTCACAATAAAGTCGAGAGCTGCGGTTATATATCGCGATAGGGTGAAGAGTACTGTGAAGGAAACCTTTTATGTGACTTCCCCTTCTACGGAAAAGAACGGTGGACAGCAGTAGCAAGGTCATATGCGAGAATTCCCGTTATCTGTTATTGTTCTTACCGCCACTTTGACATTCAAATGCAGAAGAGATGAAAATCCATATTGGGCTGCTTTATCAAAGCGTTTTCCTAACTTCAAGGACAGAGATACGGAGACAAAGGCAAAGGAAAGGCAGGGAGGTTAACCAGGCTGTAGCCGCTTCGGTGCACTACGCGACGAGAGGGTGAATGGGAGAAATAAAAGAGCCAAACGTAGAAAGAATGAGAAAAAATGCGGTTCGAGCCCTAGGATATCACCGTTCACCGCTCATACCCTGATAGTCAAAACCGATAAATATTTAGTCCGATTCCTCTGTCATTGTCCTAATGTAGACTAAAATGCAGTATGTCAAAGATTGCTGGCAGGGACTGGCTGCAAGAAAATCATACCTTGCAGTGAGCATTGAGCTGATGGCAGTGCCATTGTTATGAGGAGAGTGTGCTTCATGCTGCTGTGAGATCACAGTGACCACTTGCAAGTCTCCGTCACGGAAGTCACCTGTGGACGATGAAATATACTGCAGTGCATTCGGTGCCGTCTCACCATGAGTGCGCAATGGTGGTCATCATAGCCACCCACATCGACCGCTGTTTTCGACCCCGCTGCGTCTTTTCGGCTCTCCGACTGGGATGCATTGTATGGTAACGATGGAGACAGTGGTAGCTGCTGCCTGGCGGCCTGTCGAAGTAAGCTCTATAGAGTCAGAAATTCTCTTGGCGCGTGGTGCTTGTCACTTGTAATACTTCGTGTGGAATGCCCTTCATTTAGGGTTGTCTGTTTTTTATGCGACGGTGCTTTTCGCTATGCTCCTCGTAAATTAGTGATTTAAAAATAGCGCAAAACATTACTTATATTGCTGGCAGTAACACCTAATAACAGTAAGATTGCTTCTTCATTATCTGTATTAGGAAAATCAGTAATTTGGAGGCTTCTGGACAGCGTGAGAAAGATAAGGCTTGTTTAACGAATGCCTGCAGATGCACGAAAAAAAAAAGAACAGTTAATGTGAATATGGTTCACGTTAAGTATCGGTCACAGTGAGTAAGCGTTTTTTTTTTATGACTGCATACAGACATAATGTATGCTCTTTTGGTTATGTCTATACGGGTGCCCCGCCGCGGTGGTCTAGTGGCTAAGGTACTCGGCTGCTGACCCGCAGGTCGCGGGTTCAAATCCCGGCTGCGGCGGCTGCATTTCCGATGGAGGTGGAAGCGTTGTAGGCCCGTGTGCTCAGATTTGGGTGCACGTTAAAGAACCACAGGTGGTCGAAATTTCCGGAGCCCTCCACTACGGCGTCTCTCATAATCATATGGTGGTTTTGGGACGTTAAACCTTACAAATCAATCAATTATGTCTATACGGGTTGGTTATATTGTCACAATGCAGAAGCAGCAGCAGTTAAATACAGGAAAATCACTTTAATTGTACCAGAACACTGGCAAACTCATCGGAAGAGAACCTCTTCTTTTTTCTCCCGCTGCGCGTGTTCTTCGTTGTTCTCTTGGTGCTGCATATTCAATGCAGCAAAATGGGCTACCACTTCATTGCTGCTGAACTTTAGCTAGCTGGAAAGCCTTGCCAGGCTCTCCAAGGCTTCCTCTTTCTGTGGTTGCCACCATTTAAAAGTTCGGTCATGGCCGGGGCCCTATCACGTTCTGCGCAAACAAGGCACAGCTATCTGAAGTGTTTATATACGACAGTACTCGTTTGGGGCCTCACGTTATAGGTTATAGGAGGCTTTCCATCAGCCTAAGAGCTTCGTATACGAACACATAGACTACTTGAACTAATTCCTTACATCAATCGCAGCATCCCCATCCCTTCCGCTGTACATGTCAGAGAAAAACATCAAGTACTTTTCGTACTGTTCTTTCCTATACTAAGAACCTGTGATGGCTCTGGTTCAGTGAAACTTGATCATGTGGAAAACTGTACCAATTCCTATTCTTCTAACGCACCGCACTTCGCACTCGAAATTAGTTTATGCGTTCTAAAAATGAAGCCGGAGAATATCAGTTCGGCACCGTGCTATATAAGATTGAATGCTTAGAACGTTTGGCGTTGTACTTCAGTGCTGATGACTCCATAGCGTGTTCCAACAGCATTACTGAAGCACGTACGATTCGAAGAGTTAATTTTATCGCACGAATTATAATGCAAAGTGCTGCACCACTAAGAGATTCCCTCGATTCAAGGGGTCTACGAATGTCATCGCTTGCAATTGGAGTTCCGAGAATACGGGCTCAAAAACACTTATGGTATGATGCCTCATAATTCAATCATGCCAATAAACAAGCGTGGTCTTTTGAGTTGCTTCTATATGTGTAAAGTCTCTACTTCTGATTTTTCATAAAACAAACTCTAGAAAATACTTCAAATGAGAGACTTGTGTTTTATGTTAATTTACGAATTTGAGATCGCCGGTAAAACACAGGAGGATGGCTATTTTTTTTTAATATAAACAAAAATTGTACTCTTACTTGATGTACAGCACTAGTGGATTCAAACTCGACACCAAATGTTTTTTTACTATAATGACTGGCATGCGCGATCCCTCAAGATAACCGCTTCGTGGCACGACAAATTTGGTTTACGCAGGTAATGTTGATTCTCATCAACGTGTTTGAGTCTCAATTACGCCGATATGACACGAGCTGAACCCGAAGACGGTAGAAGCGAAGTTATGTGCGATAATTAGCCCTAAATTGTCTCATTTCAATCCGTGAGTACATTACGCGTTCGGCGTGGCGTGTTGCGAGCGTGTTGTAGCCATTAGTGTAGCGAGAATTCTTTTTCGCGGTGGCGTGTTCAACTATACCTTATGTGAGCTCGTGCAGGCTTTTGTACGTGTATTTGTATACGTACACATGCAAGATGGAAAGTTTTCAAGAAAGGTGGTGATGTAGAAACAACACCCAAACTCACGCCTGGCTATAGGCTAGTGGTTTCTGCACGAGAACGGTAATAGTTCTTTGTCCCATTGGCTTGTCACTTTTAATGACACATTTAGCGGAATGGAAGACGCTCTCTAACTATCAATTCAGGGAGGGGCACACCAATGCATCGTAGCTATGAATAAAATATGTAATTTGTTTGCGAAAAAGTGCTTCGAGGTGTTCACTACTACTCTAGAGCAAAATAGAGTTATTACTAAGGCAGTAAAGGTTCGTGTTTCACTCTCTTGCGTTCAACTTCAGGGGGGGGGGGGGTAATGAGATAAGGAATCTCATTATTACAGCTAGTTGATTGGCCGCGCGGGAAACTCAAATTGCAGAAGTGGCTGCGTAGTACAAGGGTTGCGCAGTAGCACACGTATCTGTCGAGTTTTTGAGTTTTCGTCCTGGTGTAGCAGTATGCAACTAGTAGAAAGATGAAAAAAATTGGCCCGAATCTACATGTTACACTGTAAATGTCGTCGAAAGACGATAGTTTCGCGTCTGGAGAGAGTGAGCAAAACGTTTATTTGATGTTCTGTGCAAGAAAATCGGTGAATGGTATTCTGCAGGCGCTGCGTTATACAGTGCCTCGAGCGTGTGGTGGAGGCGAACGAGCGCATCTAGGCACGTTAGACACAAGCGCCATCTGGCAGTTGTCTTCGAAAACGAAGGCGTGGAGCCCACGGAGAAAGATGCGCGCCAGTCTCGGAGGTGATAAGATGTAGAACGCAAAGCGACGGGCAGGTGCCACTACCGTGACATCGTAGCAAAGCGTTGGAAACACTTAGAAGTGTGGCAGCTTGGGCTAGTTGGTATGGCATGACGATAGTTATAGCGCGAGAACAACACGACGACACAGAGACACGTGTCCTTCGTCTCCTTCTTGTCTCTGTGTCGTCGTTTTGTTCTCGCGCGATAACTATCGTTGGAAATACCTCTTTGAGCATCGCGTTGCACTGTCAGTGCAGCGCGATTAAACGCTACATTCCTTAGAGTTACTTGTGTGTGCATCTTTTAGTATAAAGGCAGACATAGAAAACATCGAAGCGTTGTTGTGGCGCCTCAGATATGCGCAATTGCTTTTTAATTCACAATCACACAACTATGAACGCTAAACCTTGAGCAATATTGGTGAGTGCTGCGGATGGGTTTGGCCGTTTGGTGCCGTTTGAGGTATCGTTAGGGCAGACAAACAAACAAATGTACAGACAGACAGACAGACAGATCAAAATTTTTTCGTCGAAGGTCCACAAGAAAGACTATCGTCTTTAAAAAACTCGCAGGGTTCATCGTGCAATTGGCTCAAACGACTGGAAGGCGGAGGCCATGTTCATCTTTTTCTCCTCAATGCATTGATCGCAACTCGTTCCCTTCCACAAAATTTCTGCTCTTTACGTTGTTTAAACGCGATAGCGTTGAAGGCTCGTTTCACAGAAATTGCGGCATTGGCGTCGTTGGTTGTGAGGGAAAAATCTGCACTTCCGTGAGCGAAAATTTGTGATATATGCAAGTAAATAAATAATAAAATTCTTCGGCCACAGTGAGAATCGAATCCAGACCTACTGGGTGACAAGCAGCTGTTCTAGCACGGGACCAAGCTGGTGCTTGGTACTGTTTTGTAAAAAAATGCTATAAGAAAGTTATGTTGTGGAAGAAGTCTTCTATACCCCTGTAATATTGCGTGGCGGAATCGTAGAATCGGACCAGGCGTCAAAATTTGGGGATTTCGCAACGAGTGGATGGCTTAGAGCAGCCCAACCATTACAATGTGTGCACCTGCGCATGTTGTCGAGGCACCTCACAGACGCGTAGTGGCTTACTTCCTTCGCCAAATTTCAAAAGGTAGATTTATGGCATAGTGAGCCCTTCACAACTATACTTACAGTACGTATTGTAGGATAGTTTAAAACGGCCTTTGTGACGTGCACAACGGTTCTTTTCTTTGCGGCGTGGTTGAAAACGACGTGAACGGGGCCGATTATGATTTCTATACTCGTAAAGGCGAAGCCCAAGCGTACACCAGGTTTTTGTTGCTCTGCCTCCAAAAATAGTTACCTTTCAAGTTTACTGCACCTCACATGATTTTACATTACCTCTGTGATCTGCCCATCGTTGACCAAGAGATTATGTCACAGGATGACGTGGCAAGTTTTAGAGATTTGTGACTTCATGATGTGACGTAATTACGCGAGGGTGGCTCCCCCCCCCCCCCGCCCTCCGGTGTTCACGCTAACGCCCACGGTCAATTTTTGCGTTTGTTGAAGCATCTGGGCCTTTCGATTAAAGAAGACGATGGTACCGGGCTTATCTTGCGCTAAGTTTAAATGAAACATTCAAATACTGAATTCATTGTCATATGTGAAGGACCTTTAATGACAGCGGTACTATAAGCATAGAACACGGTGATAAAAATGGAAAAGCTCAATTGTGGTGTCTTTCGTCGAGCTTGGGATGATACTTGTAGTGGTGATCGGCTTGATGGTGCAGAGGTTGGTGATGGTTGTGATGATGCCTTCCGAAGCTCGCCCTGACTTCCTCGGGCACCGGTCCTGTGGTGTGTACAGAAAAAAAAAGAACAGAAGCAGCTTACGTAAAGGACAACCTTCTAGCTTGAAATGACAGTCAGCGGTATCTATGCACTTGCTTCGCTTGGGATTTTCCCGAATGTTTTATGCCGGGTGGGGTTTCCTATAGTTCATTTTGATTTCGGTGCACTGTGGCTTGCAATGGCGAGATAACCACAGCGTTAATTTTTTAATCAAAGTTTCCTGCGCTTCTATCATCAACTACAGGATGAGTAAGGCTAACTAGGGTTCAATAATGTTGGTTGTTATAAAATATGAACTTTAATATACAAATAAGGCACTGACGTCTCTTAGCAAATGTAACATAGCTCGTGAGCTGCTTCAGGCAGAACTGCAAGGAGAGAAAAAAATATAGGACTGAAAAGCGCGTTCAAATTTTAACATTTTGTGTTTCGATAAAGCGATATCAATATAAATAGCTGCAATCACGTTTTTCGAGCCTCAGAAGCATAACCATTTCACTATGTAGCCGTCTTCTAACATCACTATCCAGTTGGAAAAATTCGCGATTCTCACAATATTTATCTTTCTTGAAAAAAGCCGGCTCCCGAGAACAATTTTGACTTTTTTTGGCTAAATATTTTTTTGCTCACCATATGTTCCATCTCATCATTCAGTTTGTACTACTGAACTGGTACATAAAAAATTTAGCAGCGCAAAGAAAAGGGTATAGCGAAGAACACACACACGGATGTGCGTGCGTATTTTCCACTAACCCCTTTGCTGTTGCCATGACCTTGCATTCATTGTATCCTACCAACATGTCAGAAAGGCTTTGCCTGGCGGTCCCGACGTGAGAATTGCCCGTTGCACGCTAGGGCGCGTCTCGCAGGACCCGAATAAAGCTGTTCCAACCAACCAATATGTCCAAGTTCTCAGCCTTCATAACGTTACAGGTTTGGTGCGCCTGCATTTACTTAATCTTTACCGACCAATTTATAGCCATCTTTAGGCAACACAATTTTTTACGCTCATATCATGCCTCTCGAGTTATTTCTGCAGCATTGCTTGAATACATGACTTCAGGCGTGACTTCAACCCACTTTAATGAGATGCTTGAGTATCGCGATTGTTGAGCTATCAAGTTACTCTTCGAAAAAAGGAGTTTTATAGTTGCGAAGCATCTGAAGGAGTTAAAGGCGTTTTTCTCTCAGTAACAAACGGGAGAGTAAATAGACCTCTTTACTCCGTCCTCACGAGAGAACGAGTATACGATGCCCGTTCAGTGTTGCGGTAACACAAAGTCAGACGCAGTGAATACAGCTGCGTCGGCTTCAGTAAGCTGGCTATAGAGACGGTCTTCTGCATCACTGTCGCGACACCGCTATGACGACGCCATTATACGCACCGTGGATGCCTCGGGCGTGCTCGACGCGGTTCAGCAGCTCTTGCAGCTCGAGGCTTCGGTGCTGCAGCCGCTGCAGGGTGTCCCGGAAGTCGTCGAAGTCGGCCACCATTCGGTGCAGCGTGTGCTCCGAACAGAACGACGCGAACACCTCGGCCAGCTGCTCACGGCCTGCGCGAGACGCCACAGGAAGCGGGCCATCAACCGCGGCGCACCGCTTTCGCCCAAACACCGTTCCCGCAAAGCGTGAACAGCTACTTGATCATGGACGCCCTGTATACCTTCCACCTCTCACTACACGTCACCAAGGATGGATCGTTGTCATAGCTTGGGCCTACCATCTTTGTCGCACGAAGTCGTGAAATGTGCACGCGTTACCCAAAGGTTCCAGGTTCGTTACCTGCTGGCAGCAAGTTGTCGTTTTCGACCACTTTAGTTTCTTCACATTCATATCATAATTGCTACAATACAGTTAAAAAAGTACAAATAACGTTCTCTATACTATCCCTAATTGGTTTCGCTTTCTGTTGATTTTCAGTTAGGTTGTGACTAACAAGGAAAACAATCCCTTGAACTACCTTTCTTTCGTTTGAAATTGTCTAATGGCTCCCTTCTTCGTAGAACAGTGACTGCCAAGAACCACCTTCCCGCCTCAATCACCAACGAAACAAATGAAAAAGCTTTCAAGATTGCTTTGCAATATGCCTTCTAACCTTTTCTTATTTTCTTTTGTCCTTTCTATATTCTTTTTTAACTGCACCTATTACTGTGTTTTCCCCACTTCTTTCTTTAGTGCCTTTGGAACCGGGAAGTAATTTAATGAATAAATAAATATATCAATAATTAAATTAATAATAAATACATAAACTCGTCCGAAGTGTGCTGCAATACTCTACAGCGTCTCTCCAAGCTCCGTTTCAATAGTAAAGCTTGGCTGACGTTAGCAGAAAACAGCTAACGCTTATAAGAGCCCATAACAGTTTACGCTGCAAAATAAGGAGATGGGTAGTAATAGTTCATCCACATTATCTGCTGGTAGCGTAGTCAGAAATCTTTTTTAGGAAAGTTGGAGAGTACAACCAAACTTTATGTACATTTGTGCGTGCGTTTGTACCTGTGCGTGTACACATGTAATATCAAAAATTTCGGGGTGGTTTAAGTCCCTAAAACTTTTCGCCCAGCTCTTCATAACCTCACACCAGTGCTGTTTACAGAACCGGTGTCACTTGTAAAGCCATAACCACACGTACGCGCTACAAGGAGTCAGCGCGTGGAACGTTGGGGCGCGTACTTGTAGTTAGGGCTTGACGCCTACGTTTGCGTCCAGTGAACGGCACTCTACATGTTCAACGTTAGACAATCTTGAGTTTTCGGGCTTTTCGCAGCACTGCTAGAGCTATATACAAAGAACGTTCAGAGTTGTCCCGTAAAGGTCTTAAAGTGATATGGATGACAATAACTCTTACGTGCGTGAGGTGCGCAGAGGCACTTCTGGCACTTGCTGGCATCGGTAAAGTACGGCTGGCAGCCCACTCCGCACACCATGTCGGGACACACGTCCGGGCATTCGCACACCAGGCAGCCGTGCTCGCCCTGGCGGTACTTGCAGTACGGCTCGCACACGGGCACCACGCACTGGACGGCCGTGTGAACAGCTGCGCATCGTGCGACGACTAGTTAAATGGTGTAAACTCCACACTCGTTGCGATCGAGCGCGTATGTACGTACTTTGTGGGCATCAGGCCTGTAGAGAAAGGAGAGGGAAGCTAGGGCCTCCTCCCCTCCCAAAAAAAAATTCAGATGGAGGAGAGCGTATTTTACCAAAGAAAAATGATCAAAAATGGTGTTTCTGCAAGGTCTTCAACAAATCTTCCCCCCATCCACAAACAAAAAAAATCCTGGCTACGGGCCTGGTGGGAAACGCTTAGACAAAACACCTCATAGAGTACGGCCGAGCAATTATTAACAGTTCATATTAACATGTATAGTATAGTAAACTGTCTATTGACACTGTCATTAGGTGTCTATGTAAGGCGTTATTCAATTCTCCCGTGAAGTAGAAGTGCACGACTACTGATGATTGGTTTCCCCCCACACAGTCAACATCTTCCGAATTAATAACCAGTGAATGTGACGTAAGAAAAGAAGCAACAGAGATAAAGATTTTGTTTGGCATTACTTACAGTTCCTAATATAACAATTTCTCTCGCGTTTCTTTTACTGTATCAAGCATTAGCAGTAAGTAAACGAATGGTCTTTCATGAAGGAACTGACGGCGGAAGCTTCAATTCTTCATTTTTCTCTCTCAATTCAAACTTTCATCTTTCCGATAGTCTTTTCTGTTCATTGTATTTATGATAGTTTGAACCTGATATGCTAGGGTAAAGAGACGTGGACGAAGGTGGCAATCGACACTTCCTAAATTTTCAAGTCAGAGAAGGTTTGACCGATCACATAAATGGCATACGCTGAGTATACTACAAAGCTCGCAACGCTCCCTTTTCACAGAAGTACACTAAGTGCCTTACTTTGGGGTGAACCAGTGAGTTGGCTAACGGCAGCACGTGTTGTTGCACGTGTTAAATTTCCTTGTTTAGCGTGCTATCACTGGTTTCAACTCAGTCACATGCGATGAATAGTCGCTGTGTTTGAAGGTCTGACCACATGTGCGTGCTGCAGGGTGTCAGTACGCAGCTTGTAGACTCGGCGCCGCGCCCTCTCCACTATGGAGAGAGGGTACAGCCTCGCGTAGCCGCTCATCCTCTCTCTTCACGGGGAAAGGGCACGGCGCCAAGTCCGCGCGCTGACCCGCTGCAGCGAACGCCAACGTGTGCTGTGTCGGGCAATAACGGACTCACGGTGCACTTGTCTGAGCTCCGTGCCGTTCACGTTGGGCGCGGTGTGGTTGGCATGCCTGAGGCCGTTCTTGTGTCCGTTGTGATCGAGTCTAGTGTGCTCCCTTCTGCTTCGGGAAGTTCTGTTCTCGTGGCTCTCTCGGCTGTCTGTGTATGAAACGAGAAAAATAAAAAATAAATAAAAAGGATGCACGTCGAAGCATGCTCGCGAAACGGCAAAGGACCTCCACATACAAATAAGTGAATGCAGAATTTTATAAATGTGCTTGATATTTTTTTGTTTACATGTGTTGTGTCTATCATCATCATCATCATCATAATGTTAATAATTATCGTCATGATCATCATCATCACCATTATTATTATTATTATTATTATTATTATTATTATTATTATTATTATTATTATTATTATTATTATTATTATTATTATTCGTAAGACTGCCATAACATATTTAACTGATGTCACAAAAGGCGCATCCCACGTAAACAGACAAGTTGGATAAGTGCATAAAGTCTAATAAAGATCGTTGCAATGGTCTACGTATCCACCCATGTAAGCGCGGAGGGTGTGCGGAACGATGTCCAGCACCTGTGAGTCCCTCGTGCGCAGCTGAGGTAGCGACGCAAAATTTAAGATTCGCGCATTGCATCATAGCAAAACACGACGCAGAACTGGGGTTGACTTGGTGAAAGCCTTATTTCTTAAGTGTTCTTCGCTGTTGGCTAACTTTGCAGTATACAAAGGAGAATGTCGCATGAGAAAAGAAATGGGATAAACGAGGTAATGAACGCTGGGATAATAATCCCATTAACACTGCACACTGTCACTCGTATAATACTGAGAATTTTTCTATAGAGCCCAAGTAAGATGGGACTGAATTATGTAACGCGTTAAATACGTCACATCACCGTTTTCACGTTCCCAAGTAAACCATACGAAAATACGCCGGCAACGAGCAGTTTCATACTGGACTCGTGACTTTCTTCTGAGCTCTCTTTGCGAGTGGTGCTGTTCCTCTTGCTGATGGCCCGCACCTTGGATGCCTTCGCTTTGCCGCCCTTTTTCTTCTGGCCAGCCTCTATGAGAGGAAAAAGCAATAGAGTAAAAAAAAGAGCATTTATAGCCGACGTCAACACAAAGCAAGCCACTTAGCTTACCTATAGCAGTGCTGATAAATAGCGTCTAAGAAGCGAACACTCAAAAGAAAGGAGCAGGGAGAATTTGTAGGATAGTATGGCATTGTCCAGTTGTTCACCCCCTTCATCCTTTTTCTGTATTTCGCCACTTTCTGCATAGTTGGCGCTTTGTAACGGTATTTATGTTACAGGAACTCACTCAGATGTCCGTGCCTTCATATATATATATATATATATATATATATATATATATATATATTATATATATATATATATATATATATATATATATATATATATATATATATATAGTCTTGCCGATTTGTTCGACGCTATGTAAACCACTGTTAGGAATTCTCAGCTAAAGCTCTTTTAATCAAAGTGCATTTGCTTCGTGATTAGGGATGACTGTGCCATAAACGTGAACAGCTATGGTTTATTCTATGAGATTCCTACATTATTATAACGCTGTTTACTCCGACGTGTTGAAGACTGGAGAGTTCCTCGGCAACACCGTTCGTGACGTTCCTTCTTGCTAGTGTCTTTTGAAAGCCTCTAAGCTTCACCACCGTAGCCAGCGTTGTTTACACATACAATATCTTGTACCTATACATAAATGTCTAGCATTAGGGACGAATAAGCCATTATAAGGTAAAGAAAGAAATGCACATCGTGATTGGTGTTTTAAACCCGACTCAATGTTTTCAGGTACGGTAGTATTGAGGAAAACACTGATATCAACGTCGATGTTTTATAAAGCTTATTGTCACAACTACATACGAGCCTTCCGGCACTGCAGTAATAATTAAGACTGAGCTCGTGATTCTAGTGCATGCATGACCTGACCTACTTGTTGCTCGCAATCAATATACGTGCGGCCATGGGCATACACGGCCTTCGCGGGACTGACTGGCGGTAAACGTCTACTGTTTTGTCGATTTGTCGTTTATGTCAAATACCTCTCTACGTTGCTTTACTCGCTTCGCTGGCCTTCTTTCCTGTATTTTTACTTCTTACCATCTCATTGAAATCCACTCGAAATCCGGCCATTAACGAAACACAACTATTAAGAACATCACTCAGCTGCGAGCTGCACTCTTAAAAAAAGTACCCGTTACTCTTTTTGAAGATCTCATACTTTCTTCATGTTCTTAAAAACACACTTAAACGCTTTTCTTTTTAGTGCTGCACCACCGTTAATTCTCTGAAGAGAGTTTAATTATCCTCAAAAAGGAGTTAACGCATACCTGTGAAGTATCTGTACGAGTATCTGTATTTGTATATGCAGAAAACTATGACTCATCAGTAAATGTAGCAGGTGCCCAGTTTTTTTTTTTTTTTGCCGACTTGGCTTCATCTTAAAGAATTAGATAAGGCCAAGCGATGGTACGGACAACAAAAAATGCATCTCAGTAACTATCTCCGAGAAATACGGCTGCTGATGTACCTACACCCTGACCTCTGCATTGAACCTCTTCTCTTCCCCTCCTACTTTCCCGGTGGGAAATACCAAAAAGGGGTGTAGTGTGGTGGTATTGTATCTGTTTATAGGATAAATATGACATTCACACTGCTTAAAGTCTATCAGTGGCGTATGAACATAAAATTAACGCTATTTGCTTTTTCCCGCAACCATGTAACCACGTTTGTTAAAGTATTTGTGCATGGAGGCCTCAACAATCTGTAACTCACGAAACAATCACTGGACTTACTGTCCCAATGTTAAAAATGTCGTTTAATAGGCATATTAGCAAAAATCAGTAAATTCTGACGAGGAGATGTCATATGAGTTAGTCAAGCAAGCAGGGTTAAGTAGAACAATGCCTAGAGCAAAGTGTCGATGCGAAGTAAACGGTGGCTATTCTAGCTCGCTCGCTCGGTCACTCACTAACCTGTGCAAACGCAGCTGGGGCATCCGTGGTCTCCTGGCACGAGTTTGCAGCCCTTTCCTTCACACTTGGGAGTGACGCACTCTGGTGGTTTGGGAACATTTGAATCAGCGGGCTTCCCACTGGTTGCGACTGCGCAGAATCCACATGCAAGGCCAATAAAATTACGGGTGTGACGCTTATTATGCATGTACAGCAAAACACGCTTGTGGCATGCGTACCTGAACTGATTCCGAATATACATCTGGAAATAATTCTGAATATGGTATTCTGAATATGGTATTCTGAATATGGTATTCTGGTTATGTTGTTGAATAACTGAAACATAATTTTGATCACTGAACGATAACGCAGTTTGAAACTAACACACTCTCTCCATTTCATTTTCATTAGATAGATAGATATATAGATAGATAGATAGATAGATAGATAGATAGATAGATAGATAGATAGATAGATAGATAGATAGATAGATAGATAGATAGATAGATAGATAGATAGATAGATAGACAGATAGACAGACAGATAGATAGATAGATAGATAGATAGATAGATAGATAGATAGATAGATAGACAGATAGACAGACAGATAGATAGATAGATAGATAGATAGATAGATAGATAGATAGATAGATAGATAGATAGATAGATAGATAGATAGATAGATAGATAGATAGATAGATAGATAGATAGATAGATAGATAGATAGATAGATAGATAGATAGATAGATAGATAGATAGACTTAAAATGATCACTAAGATGAAAATGCATATTTTTGTGTAAGTCTAGTTCACTCGCTTTCATGTTAGCCGATCTTTTGAATCACTTACGAAAACACAACAAAAACACAAAAAAACAAGAGTGCGAGGGCCAGAATCATAAATCGTTCCTTTCCTTAATGTCGTTTTCACTGCGTGTGGCTGAATGCACTGTGTTCCTACTTTCCTTGAAGCTTGAAAAGATATCACTAGTCCATGATTAGAGAAATACTTGAGAGTGCAGCGATGAATGCAAGGTTTTTTCTTTCTTTTTTTACCTTTGACGTTTCGTGAATAATGAATCAGTGCTTTTGATGACATGATCAGTGGCTCGTGTGACCCGAAAGAAAGTCTCTCCTTCTCTCTTGGTTTCTTTCGTAAGCGTTTTAATAAATATGCTCGTGGTGAAGTGTTTGGCCACTTGCCAAGGCCATCGTTCGGTCCAGCATTAACTTCAGGCTTAACGTGTTGTTCTTTATGGAGGTAGTACAGGACAGTCAATAAGAAAATGAAGAAAGCCCGAACGATATACTTCATGCGTAATTCCTCTTGTTTCTGAAATAAACATGCAAAATACATCTCTTTGACTTGTTAAAATTGGAGTTTCGGTATATCAGATTTGGAACGAAGGCTGCATAAGGCACACCATGTTTCAAAAAGTTGACCTCAATTCTTTAGCTTATATCATGTCCGAATATGGTATTCTGATGGGTTTTCTCAGTGACTCTCAGGGAAAACTAGCGTGTTGCAGAAAGTCGTTCCGATATAGCTTTCATTTCCATTCGCATCAGTTAAGCACGGAGTCATCCTGATCGCCATTCCTGACATTTCCTCGTCCATTTAACGACATTATGATGACGAGTTAATCCGTAGCAGCAGCAGAGATAAACAATAGGTCATTAATAACTTCAAAACAAATTTAACGTGAACTGACCACCGGCCCTTGTGTTGCCCCAAATTTAAAGACGTGCATACACAAGGCCGAGGTTCCTTACATAATGGTGTGCGTTTTGTGCTGCCTTGATTGTTCACAGAAATGTGACAACGCAGAAAGAAAGTGCATGACAGATTGCTAAACAAAAGGCAATAACTAAAATTTTATGGTGCCGATAACTAGCATCTCAGTGCATTTTTTTTTTCGAAGAACCTATAGACCAACTGAAAAAGAACGGTACGCATGGCCTATCACGGTGATTGAACAGCATCAGCTCCACACAACCTTTGGCACGTAGTAAACTTGCGAACATACTACGTTTAGAGGTGCGCAGTGTTTGTATATTGTCGATGTCTGTGAGATGGTAACGGGAGTGGCACTCACGTAGATGCTGGACGACTCCGTCTTGGTGGCGGACTTGTTCTTGGAAGTGAAGCACGTGCCTTGCGAGGGGGTCGGCCTGCCTGAACACCATGTTGAGTAGTGCGCGGGGACAGTGCCGCTCGCCGTATTTCAACAGGGTCTGCTTGGCTGCAAAGAGGGCAAAGTACGGGCCTGAACACCATGTTTAGCAGTGCTCGGGGACAGTGCCGCTCGCCTTATTTCAACTGGGTCTGCTTGGCTGCAAAGTGGGCAAAGTACGGGCCTTAACACCATGTTTAGCAGTGCGCGGGGACAGTGCCGCTCGCCGTATTTCAACACGGTCTGCTTGGCTGCAAAGATGGCAAAGTACGGGCCTGAACACCATGTTTAGCAGTGCGTGGGGACAGTGCCGCTCGCCGTATTTCAACAGGGTCTGCTTGGCTGCAAAGTGGGCAAAGTATGGGCCTTAACACCATGCTTAGCAGTGCGCGGGTACAGTGCCGTTCGCTGCATTTCAACAGGGTCTGCTTGGCTGCAAAGATGGCAAAGTACGGGCCTGAACACTATGTTTAGCAGTGCGCGGGGACAGTGCCGCTCGCCGTATTTCAACAGGGTCTGCTTGGTTGCAAAGTGGGCAAAGTACGGGCCTCAACACCATGTTTAGCAGTGCGCGGGGACAGTGCAACTTGCCTTATTTCAAAGTGTCTGTTTGGCTGCAAAGAAGGCTAACTACGGGCCTCAACACCTTGTTTAGCAGAGCGCGGGGACAGTGCCACTCGCCGTATTTCAACAGGGTCTGCTTGGCTACAAAGAGGGCAAAGTACGGGGCGTACGACGCCTGTTCAACTTATGCCGTGCCGTGGCGATGCCCCCCCTTTTTTTTCCTTTTTGCAGGATCGAGTTTGCCTCATGACGCGGAGGCGGCTGCAGGGAGTAATGAGAGGTAACGAAAAATTGTAAGCCTATCGTTTATCCTTCTTTTTTGTGTCTACGTATTCTTGGTTTCGTCAATAAAAACTTCAATTGGTAGTCAGCGCCCGTCCTCGTGTCCATTTCGTTCGCGCTGCCTTTGCGCAGTGTTTTCGAGTTTGAAGTTACGGACCGCCTTTTCCCTCTTCTCCAACGATCCGAACTCGCGTTTAACTTTACCGCAGTGTACTAACGGCAAGTTGGACTCAACGAAATTCACGACACAACTTCAGTATTCGCGGTCTTCACACGTACCAACTGAGCATTCTCGATGCGCTAGGTGGCATGACGCAATTTATTCGTTTATCTATTGATTGATTCATTGATTGATTGATATTATGACAACAGTAGTTTAACGTAAAGTCACGCAAGCCTTTAATGGTACGGTGCACACTGAGCAACCTTTATAGTCATGCTTTTCTTATTTTTTAGGGGCGAAGCTCCTTAGGGCGTGGGCTGTGCGTCCCCTGTATGTAGTCACCTCTAGTTTAGTTCTTGCAGTGTTCACTAGATGGCGGTACCGTCTCCTGTATGTAGCCACTTCTCGTTTAGTTCTTGTAGTGTTTACTAGATGGTGGTACTTGTAGCTGATGATGAAAAGATGCAAGATGTTATAAACTAGAAAGCGGTACTTGTAGTTGATGAAAGACGCGAGATCTTATAAAATAGGAATGATGTCACATATGGCGCGTGTCATTGGTTGAAGGCAATCGTTCGATTTACTGCGGCGACGTACGCTAGGGGGAGCGATGTAATAAAATCGAGTGGGCAAAATGTACAGAGGATTCATAGTTTACCAGGTTTACCTCCGGAGCTTCGCCCACTCATCATCATTCACTTCGTGGATATGGCGGCACTTTTTTCTATGGTTTTCACTTACCGGTGATAACGGGGCATAGGCACCATGGGCATCGGTGAGTGGGCGTCACCGTCTCTTTTTCGCACTCGGGCGGGCACGTCAGCTCGCCGCAAGGAGGCTTCGGCGGAAGTCCTGACCTCGGGTCACCTGTGCGGACACGAAGCGAACGCGGCAAATGCAGTGACCAATTATACAGCATTACCCATTACCCATTATACAGCATGCAGGAAGCGCCCTCTGGCAGCTGAAAGAACGAGCGGCCAACGTCTGGATTCTTCAGTGCAGCCGAGAACACACATGGCTAATCTTGCAGCTTTTGTAGAGCTCTTCTTTATGTGTATAACCTAGGAATAGCGCTGCCAAGATACAGTCCAACGAGCGATCACCCTGGAGAGGCGTTGGCTCGTGTTCAATCCCGGACCACCAGAACGCATTTTTGGGCAACTAGGAAGCTTTCTGTATGAGAAATCCGTATCGATTTATTAGTGGCATCGTGATAAGAACGTGCGGTTGAGAATTCTTAATCCTTCCGCCACCTTAATGTATTCCGCAGAACCAATCTGTAGCCTACTGATAACCAACACAAACTAAAACACACAGACCTCATTTGTTATGCACGCTTTATATACGTTCATTCCCCGAGAAACAGAGATGTGGTTTGAGAATCGTTCGAGAAATCCTTGTAGGCAGCAAGCTAAATAACTTGACTTCACTTGCAGATCCCTAAGAGCAAGAAGTTTTATTGAGAAGGTCTTTCGGTTCGAGAAAACCGTCTGCCACCCATTTACCCCCCCCCCCCTACCCTTCTTTTTAAACATCTAAGAACACCATTATAAAAAAATTGGCTCCGTATCTGCATGTAATCTGCAAATGTCGTTGAATGACGATGGTCTTGCGTGTGTAGAGAGTGAACAAAACATTCATTTGATGTTCTGCGCAAAAAAATCGGTGAATGGTATTCCGGAGGCGCTGCGGGTGGCTCGAGCGTGCAGCGGAGGCCAACGAGCGCATGAAATCACGTCACACGTTAGACATGAGCACCATCTGGCAGTTTCTTTTGGAAAACAAAGCGCGTGGCCGTGCGCGCCCGTCTCAGAGGTGATAAGCTGTAGAACACGAGGCTACGGGTAGGTGCCGCCACCATCTCGTCTTAGCAAAGCGTTGGAAACACTCCCCGTTCAGTGCAAGCGTTGCATGGTAAGCGCAGCCTGATAAACGCTACGGTCCTTAAATTTACTTATGTATGCGTTTTCTAGTAAGAGATGCATATGCGAAATATATGCGTGTTGTTATGGTGCCCCAGGCATGCGCAATAATTGATTTTTAATTGACAATTGCACAAGCATGAACGCTCAAACCTTGAGCAACATTGGTGGCCGCTGCGGATGGGGTCGGCCGTTTCAAGTACCCGATGCCGGTAAGAGCGGACAAACAGACAAATGTACAGACAGACAGACAGACAGACAGACAGACATACAGACAGACAGACAGACAGACAGACAGACCAAAATTTTTGCGTAGAAGGTCCCCAAGAGAGATTATCGTCTTTAAAAATATGGCATGGCTACGAAGTGCATGATTATGAGTGGGTGCAAAAGTGGGATCATTCTTTGTCACCGTAAATCACCCGTATTATTTACCACTCATGCATGTGAATGAGTGTCCAAGCGATGTGTATTTATATACAATGTCACTTGGGCATAACTGGTATGTGGTGTTTAGTTGCCAATTTCGTTTCTTCCTTCATTATTGTACTGCTTTGTGGTATCGGAACTAGCATGAAGTTAGCAAAGACGAGGTCTGTGGTTGTTGGTTGTTTCCAGTCATACGAAATGCATCGTAGAGCATATTGAGACGCCATATACAGCAGAATCCAGTCATTGTCCGTGGTAATCATCTTCATCGTCATCATGGCTATGGCGCACGCCAACGCCGCCAACGGACAGGCCTCGACCTTAATTAAGGCGCTTCGTCCCTATTATTAGAAACATTTGCCAGCAAGCTCTGCCTGTCAATGTGAATTACCAGACATTCTAAACACCAGGATGCACTGCCCACCCTGCACTGCCAAAATTTTACCATCATGTAAACTGCTTCTACAGCAACATAATTGAAGTTGTGTTTTCCCGAAATCTGGCTTTAGTAAGGTGTCTTAAAACGCGGTTCTTTTGAAAATTAGTTCAGTAAAGCAATATCACTGAGGAAAAAAATGAAGTAACGCGCCTTCTATGTGAGGATGCTGGATGAATGAGTTTTCCATGGTCGTTCTGCAACCTTTTTTCTCCCCTTTATCCCTTCCCCAGTGCAGGGTAGCAAACCGGATGTGCGTCTGGTTAACCTCCCTGCCTTTCCTTGCATCTTTATCTCTCTTTCTCTCCATGGTCGTTGGCTCCGCTTACGCCTCAACTAGTGACTCATACACTTTTGTTTTTTTTTTAACGCGTAGCGCTTCGTTGACTTACTGGGGCGCACGGGAGTGTGCGATAACGAAGAAAATAAAATAAAATAAAATAAAACAGAAACAAACGCTAACATTTCACCGTACCGAATGTTTCCATAAAAAACAACAACAGATAATTGGGCGCCATTTCAGCGGAACAACATCTTTCCTTTCGTTATCATTCAAGGGCGAAGACTGAAAACCAACGCGACAAGTAAGCATAAGTCTTTACTTTGTAGCAAACGAATGGAAACTCGACGCTGCGATTTGTTTTGTTTTTCTTTTGGTTACGAAACTAGGAAGTAACATTGTATCATCGCTGTAATATCGTGTGACACCGTGGCGGACACACTCGCCGTCGCTTGGGACTCGCAACGCGCTATACACCGCCTGATGAGAAAGTGTCATGTTACCCTCTTTCAAAAAACATCCCCCCTGCGCCCTCGCAGGATCGCTTCAGCCTACATTCTTTTCTTTCCATTGCTACATTTATTATTTTCCCGTTTATTATCTTTTCTGTAATATATTTAATTCGTTTCCTTCGTGCCTTCATACAATATAATGATCCCTAAATCGTCTCACCCAACAACGCCGATCATGCAGGCCACTATCGTTGGTGCGGCTTTTAAAGCGTGGCGTGGCTTTGGTGTCGCGAATTTTATTGTTAAGCATGTACCGATTCTGATTAGAGCAATTTTTTTAGCGGGTTTCTCTCGTCGGGCGTTGAAGTGCTGTCGCTGCATTTGTTAGTCATACATTTTCGGTTAAACTTATGTGTCATATCTTGACGTCATTGTATATATGGAGCGTTCATTACCTTCTTTGTTGCCTGTTTCGAGATTATTTAAATAGGTACCGATTCATTTTTTTTTTATTTTCATTCAAAAGTAAAAGCATGACGCTTTTCTAGACCACGCTCTCGCTTTTTTAGACATATGAAAATGCATAATCTGTATATAAAATATTAAATTTGACAAAAATACCTAACACTTATTAATAACTGATTGATTTATTGATTGATTGATCGATTGAGCGTTTGCGAAAAGGCTGATCTGTAGATATTGACTGTCTTAGCGCTCAAGACATGAGAGCATATGAGACATATGAACAACGCAGTTAGTTCATTAATTGCCATACTTAGACGACTGGCATTGATTTCAGAGTGAATCTTGTGTGAACACACCTTCACAACTGTCTGGATATAATTTTACACTTGTAATATATGACTTTGGGTAATTTATAAGCAAATTTAACAGTTCCTTTCACATGGATGTCAAGTTATCTGCCTGGCACGTGGACCTATGACGTTCGCCAGAGTGAATTTTGCGTAACCAAAAGTAGACTTCTTAACTGTACTGTGCTGTTAGTATTCCTTTCTTTATTTGCACCTGTTATTTTGTACGAACGTATTGCCAGTGTTAACGAAAGATGTGCCCAGTAAAAAGCTGCTGTAAGATGTCAGAAAGAACTTGCCCCCGCTATGCCGTAGCTATTTTTTGTCGCTGTCCGAACAGTGGTGACCCATGCGGCCTGGGGCCTCTTGTTGACCACATTTGTTTATAGCCTTAGGCCTACTTAACTTAGGTACACACATAACATACTTTCTGTTAAATCATTTCCGGATATAATATTGATTCACTAATAATACTGACAGATGCGCATTATCTTTCAGAAAACAGTAGTGGTATAATTCACTAACAGCCACTCCCTGTTGCCGCATGTGTACACTTCCGAGAACACAACTAATACCCAGGCACAAGAGTACATATAACTTGGGGTTAACTTATCACACCATTTACAATGGTCGCAGCATATTGACTACATCACATCCAAAGCACTGAAAAAAATTAGGTTACTTGCGTCGTGCGTCATCTAAACCTCCGAAATGCACCAAGTTACTGCTGTATCCAAACCCTTATACGCCCTATACTGGAGTATATGCTTGTTGTGTCTGGAACCCGTATAAAACATGTGTTGTCAACAAAGTTGAATATGTACAAAGGAAGGCGGTTCGCTTCATTTGCCATCGCTACGATCGTAACTTTTCACCTTCTTCTGCAATGAATTCCTTGAAACTCTTTCTCCTATCCACCAGACGGGATACCGATTCCTTAAAGCTATTGTATTCATTTGTTCACTCATCTTGACGACTATCTTCTGATGATTACATGTCATATGCTAATACTTTTTCAACTAGACGTTACCACGGCCTCAGCTTAAAGCCTTTATTTATGCACATGAACATTTTTAACAACAGTTATTTTCCTAGAGTTATTGAAAGGTGGAATGAATTACCCGGTAGTATTCGTGAATTGACGCTGTCAGATTTTGTAGATGCACTGTTATAAGTAGTTCATTGTTTCTTTTTTTTTTCGCTATGATTGTTCAACCATGTAATCAGTGTACTCTGTTCATGCAAATGTACCCCACTCCTGCAATAACTCTGTATAGGGCTGCAGTACTTGAAAATAAATCAATATAACGAATAAATCTTTACACTTACCTGTTCATATTCATTCGCTACATCATCTCTACGCCTCTACCTGTCCCTGGCTTCGTCGAGATCAGACGCAAGCAGCTTCTCTCACTTTGCTATGAGACAATAAACGCTCGCCGCAGTGTACAACTATTTCTTGCCACTCACCATCGCAAACACACTCGGGACACTTGGCCGTGGCGTTCTTTTCCTCGTGGCATCCGGGTCCGCACACCAGGAGCGGGCAGTCGCCCTTACAGTCGCACACCAGGCAGCCGTCGGTGCCGACCTTTGTCTTGCAGTCCTTGCTGGCGCACACCGGCTCCGGGCAGTCCAGTGGACCCTTGGTAGTTTTATCTGTTGCCCAATAAGGGAAATACACGGTACGTGATGGACGGTTCCATCGCGTGTCCTTTAAACTTATCGAGCGTTCATGTAAAAGCTTCTTATTTTGTCAAATTTGATACGTCTTACTGTGTTCTCACTGTGATGCGTTTTACTTGCAGACGAACTCCTTGAGGAGGTATTAATACCATTGTCTGAATATTTACACACGTAGTTTAACATAATGCGTTATCCGTATAAAACTAGATTCTAGCCACGTGAGTTACCGGCACGACCGACGTGGTTGCACTTTAACTCGGTCAAACTTTATTCAAAACGCAGACCCTATTGGAACTTCCTATGTAAGGGAGACAAATGTGTGAAAGTTGAACACTTTAACCAAAAACTTCTGCTGAGCTATATTATACCAGAAAGGAGGTGAGCGGTGAAAATTATGAGAAATAAAACGAATAAATTGCAAAAAAAGGAAGAAAAAAGGGTTTCCACAAGTCACAGGATCAGGCTCACTACACTAATAGTGTGTCATGGCTGTGTCATTATCACTGTATTGACACGAGCTTTCGTGCGTAACATGTACATTATAATGTGTCTAACAACTATTTTACTCGCAAGCAGTTGTTTGATGACCCCAATGAAGCAAGGGTTTATGCATAAAACCTTAAACTCCTTGTCAAAAGAGATAAAAAGCTGCATGGAAATAGAAGCGGAAGTAATATGCTCCTGGTTTTTGCCCACACCAGTGTAAAGACGCCTTATGTTTAGGATAACCACATCGCACGGGGTTTCAAAAAGGTGTCGTAGTACGCAGCAAAATTTGAAAAATCTCAACATACTGTTTGACGGAGCATTATTCAAGAACTGAAACACGTAATACAGCGGGCATTAAAAAGGTACGGACGGGATTATCTAATTAACATTAACTCCGGACAAGTGCATCATCTAAAATTATTAACAAAAAACAAAAATATCCCAGTAGCACAGATTCGCGAGATACAAGAGAAGTAATATAAGATATCTCTGAACAATGTATCGCTTTTGCTTGCGTACTATTCTATGAAAATAATGCAAGATGACAAGTCGGTCCATCTACTTAATGAACCTTGCACACTTGCTTTTTCAATGTAATTTAATAAGGCAGTATCTCGGGCAAGTTATTGTCGGACTATCAACGAGTGAGGTGAATCAACGTAATCAATGAAGTAATGTCGTATAAAAAAGCTACAGACTATGTCACGGTGGTACCATTGTTGCCTATGTGAGGCCACGTTTTTTTTATTACTTTCCGCGGTGGCCGATTAACCACCAAATGAATTTGAAATCACTCGAGTTCTTGAACTCGTTTACATGCCAACAAGGGTGGGCCTGTTGGCAAGTCATGAGGAATTTTTTCACTGCGCGAACTTGACACAAGGACACAGGAAGGCAGTGCTGCGTGTGTTGTCTTCCTTTTAGTGTCCTTGTGTCAAGTTTGCGCTGCAAATAACCTCTCATTTGTACGCTAAACGACTTCTGGTTGTCACCATGAACCTAGGTAGCCACGCCCGACACAAAGTCTCTCTCATCGTTGTTATTTAGCCTATTAATTTTGCACATAATGGATCATCGTACGTTCTGTCAGCCTTCGTCTTCCACTCGCTTCCTCGAGGCAAAATATCCGGAAGCCGGGCTTCATCTTTTCTTTTTCATCATTCGTTTTTAAAGACAAGAAGACTGGACATTCGATGCAGGCAGCACTCACCATCCGCGCATGAGGCGAAGGTCGCCGTTGCCGCCAAGAAGAAGAGCAGAAGAAGCGTCCTGTCGGCTCCCATGACAGCGGGTGGTCTACGGTCTCGCGTCCACACACACACACACATACACACACGCAAAAATAAGCAAAGGATTTGTCGCGTGGTGGGGCCACGGCACGCGGTCGAGTCGTCGGTGCCAACGCCGGCGTCGCGTCGCTCACTCCAAGGCGCCGCCGCCTTATCGTCCTGTACAGACTGCAGCGGCGTCAGAATTCTGCGACCGCGTCGCCCTGTTGACCTTTGCGCGCTTGATGCGACCGCACTCCAAAAAGATGGAGGGGAGGAATCTCTCGCCGTGATCTTTCGACAGGCTGGTTCCTCTCGTTTTCTCTCGTTATTTTCTGCTTCTCTCTCTCTCTAGCTTCTCATGAATAAGGGTGTATATCGTCACCTTCGTAGCTAACGACCAACGGTGGCTGATGGGGTTCAACCCATACCCGATTTTTTTTTTGCATATGCATATGCACATGCTCACATAAAAACGCTGCATACATAGGATACCCCACCTCCACACCCAAACTGGGAAAAAATATTATCGCTATGTTGTGCGCTGACCTGGGTAAATATGCAATAACGCTCATTTGCGTGTTCGATGGGGGGGGGGGGGTCATAGGCGTTAGTAGGGTGGTGCAAAGGGGGCACTTGTCCCCCTCAAGACACCCCAGCACATCCCTCACTCGAGCCACTGCCTTCCCCCTCCCTCATCCGCGTAGCAACACTAGTGTGACCCCCCCCCCCCCTTTATCCCAGAAAAAAGAAAAGTTCTGCCGATGACCATGGAGGAGGGGGGCGAACCCTCCCGAAAGTTATTCAATTTTCTTCCCTCTCCCCACCCCACTTCTAATGTGTTCGTGGTGACGTCCCTGAACACACTGTAAGCTGGTTCGATGCAACGGGAGCTACGTTTCGAATATATGCATTGATCTATTATTATTGTTGGCATTCGGCATAAAATACGCATGTGCAAAATACAAAGAGTAATATGAGGAGTAAACAGCATTTTATGAGACCATTCCATTCTCGGTCAACACCCCATGGTGGGTGTTAGCCTCAGTTGAAGGTTAGCAAGAACAAGAACAAAAATAGATGACAAGTGTAATGGACAGGAGCACAACTCCTGGTCAATATTACGAGAAAGTATAGACTTGTAATAAAAGTTGAACTATGGTATGAACAGAAGCAAAAGGGAAAGAAGGAACAAGATGCGCATCAGTCCGCGAACACTGAAAAGCAACGAAAAACTGCTATTCAAAAGGGAGGCCAAGTCAGCATACCTGCGAAATTGTATAAACAAGACGCGATGGGCGTGATTGCATGAAGAGGCGCGACTAATCAGTAAGAAGTAATCATCAGAGCTAGTGCACCTTAGAATGCTGTAGATTATTTTACTAAGCAGCAGTGAGCTCTCTCTTTATCTCATTTAAGTGAGGAAATAGAAAAATAGAGATAACGAAGAGACAAACAGGCTAAATTATATGTCACCCTGACGAAGTCACCGATTTGCTACGCTGTATTGGGAAGAAGGAAGGGTGGTAAAAGAGCTGAAGAGAAGATGAGTTCGACACGATGCTGCAAGGTCATTACCACAGCATCATCCAAGTACAGTGCGCCAGCAATGTCTGTCACAATTTGTCATTCAGTCCGCTTTCTCGTTGAAACCACCACAGATCCCTTAGAGCTCACGTTGAAGACCAGGTGGGCCAGTGCCGTGTGATTTTATTTGCTGTGAGAGGGTGTGGAATGCAGATGACATGGGAATCGCAAGACGCACAGGAAAAAACTTCTATGCACCCTTGTATACGTGTAATCACCCGGTCACCTATACAGAGTCAGCTCCGAAGTATAATAAACAGGGAACCACTATGTTCTAGCAGGATGAAGTGTTTGTTCTCATGGAAATTGGTTAATGAGTGACTACTTGCTGCTTTTCTTTCGCACGCATGAATGAGTCGAGGCCATATTGATGTTTTATCCGAAACTGTCCTCGTTGAGTACTTTCTTTTTTGCTCATTTATTCGCCATGTTTCTCGTTAAACATTCCTTCCCAGCACATATGAAGTACTCGATACCTTACATAGAACATAAGAGCACAGCTTCTATCGGTTTTTGAACTGTTCTGAATATGCTGACACATTTATGCATTTTTCTGCACATCAAATCTAATGTTATCCATTCTTTAGTTGCAAGAATCGGGCGTATCATATCGCGTCTCTTTCTCTCTCTCGAGGACTTCACCGTGAAACAATGAGGTTACGATTGAGAAGCCGACGACAAAAGAGTGCAGATCAAACGCACGTGCCACTCTTTTTAAGTGCGGTGTGACATCAATTCTTAAATTTACTCTGAATCCATGAGAGAGAAAACAAATCTTCGTTACAGGCTGATTGGTGCCGCTGTCACATTTATTTAACTTACTGCACTGTTGTTTTTCACCGGGCGCTTGCTCTTCCTCACGAAGACAAATTATTCAATAGACAACCCGCGGTAATTAACGGTAAAACTTCATGCCTTATTGAGTCAAGAAATTTTCAGTTTTGGCTAGACGTGAGGAAAAATCGCAAGGTGGTGGCACTAGCACAAATGATGCAAAATAACAACTAAGTAATAAAAGTTGGTCGAAAGCACGTCTAAAGCCACGTGATATACCGATGTAATTCTGTAAGTCCCATGACGTCATTGTAGTGTCGTCAACGCCATCACTCTGTGTCGTAGTCATGACGTTACCGATCGCCAAAATTTGTGACGCCATAATAACGTCAACATGACGGTAGAATTTCTACGATCAAGGAAGAAGAAAAAGAAGCAAGTATACAATGGAGATTGTTTTCGCCTTGGGGTCGTCTAATGCGAATGCTTGAGATACCCTAGGATATATTTGATTACAATTGTTTGCACGGTATTGTGCGTTTCTTCAAAAAAGTCGATATTGTCGCTTTCAGCGAGTTTGTACGACATACATTAACAGTTAGCCACTTTGCTCTATTCTCAAACTTTCTATCTGTAGCCATGCGCATTATCACAACTTATCGAGATTGGTTGCACTTCCTGCTAAATAACACGCGAAGGAGTGAGTTAGTGAATCCAAGAAATCGGTTGGCAATATTAGGTTGCTAGATACAGGAGCTTTTCGTAATGGTATACGCGAGCGCAGTCAAAAACAAGGACATGTTTGGCTTTGTGGTATTCACGCCAAATTTAAAACCTTATGAAACTTACAGTGAAAGGTTGAATTGTTCTCGCTATTGTAGTACGGCAACAAAAATGAATGTTTCCGATAAAATTGTTTATTATTTGTTTGGATATTTTGTTCTGGACGAAAACTCAGCAGTACTTAATGTGTTCGCAGGTTATCCATCTTACCACAGTCGAATCACGTGGGCAACCAGATCATATTGAGTCCTCGATGGCGAAATCAGTAGACCGATGAAAAAAGGAAGGCTTAACAAAAGAGTGTTCTGTTAAGCTAGCGTTCACACAATTACACCATTTGCAAACTTAAAGTATCACTATATCGCTCACCGATAGCAGTTTTGGTGCCGTATGCTAAAAGCATAATCATTTTTTTTTGTCTTTGCCTTCCTTGTGAAGTGTTTGCGCCAAAGATGTGGGCACTTCAGTGAGGATAAGAGCTATAAAAACTGTCTCCCTGATTTCATTATCTATTTTAGGAAGAAAGCCTTGGATGGCTTCTCAAAACGCTGAAAGTGACCATGGGCGGCAACACGTGTGATGCAAATCATCGTGTTGTGATGTCACAGATCGCCAAAATTTGTGGCGTCATCATGACATCTCCCTGACGTGTCATAACGTGATGCCATATTCCGGCTTATTCGCTAGGCCAAATCTGGTCCGATCCCGGAGGCACTACTGAACCACTTGAGGGACTGCCCTCACGTGGTGTGGTCCTCACTGCCTCGGGGTCAGAGGCATCCAACGCCTCCAATCTCTGAGGCAGTGCGAAAAACGGGTATGATGCCTAAAGTTTAAGCGAGCGGTATCAATACAGTTTACTTAAAAGTAAAAAAGATTGCTTTCGCGTAAACTTCGAATCATCTTAAAGGAGTGTATTATTATTATTATTATTATTATTATTATTATTATTATTATTATTGTTGTTGTTGTTGTTGTTGTTGTTGTCGTTGTTGTTGTTGTTGTTGTTGTTGTTGTTGTTGTTGTTGTTGTTGTTGTTGTTGTTGTTGTTGTTGTTGTTGTTGTTGTTGTTGTTGTTGTTGTTGTTGTTGTTGTTGTTGTTGTTGTTGTTGTTGTTGTTGTTGTTGTTGTTGAAGACTTACGATCATGAAAAGAGGGAGATTGGGTTACTAGATAAAAACATCATAAAACAAGCTACAGCAGTACTGCTGCGCCAGAAACAGCTGGAAGATATGATGTGGTCATTGAGTTTCAGGAGTGTTCGTTATGTAGTTCCTCTCTTAAAATACTTACATTCAGAACACCCTTCTGAGCGATGTCAGTTTGTTACTGGATAGACGTTAACTAAGTTGCTGTCAGGAAACTTGCGAATCAGGAATCGAAATGTAGCCGACATTTTGCTTCGTGTCAAATATATTGCCTCAGGATGCGCGATCGAGCGTTGATCGTGGCGGACAAGAAACAGCACTTACCTCTTGGCGCTGGGCGTCCATGGACGACCACATCACGTCCGGGTATACGGTCGTGTTTCTTTTTGATTGAGATTATTAAGGATACTGAGACATAAAAACGCGTCACGTCAATGAGGCTTCTCTCCTATGTAAATTATGCTGCACGCGGGCAGTAGATAAAGAACGAGTTTCGTTCGTCGAATGATGTCAGGCAAGTAAAGGCAGGGACGTAGGATGGTAAACGTAACCTCGGCTTCGCGTGCACCCAGCGATGCCTTCAAAAGGTTGCACGCGAATGACGCTCCCAAAAGCTATGTTTGCGACACCGGGCAAATGAATATCGCTTAATACGTCACAGAGCAAAGTGCTCGAATAATACAATGGTTAACAGCGTGCACCTCCGTATGTTTTTTATGAGAATATTTTCATCACGAGGACCAAGTCGAGGACATCCGATCCACAATAATACAGTGCTCTATATTTACTGTATCAGATGCACAAGCCCGATACGGGAATAAGGCAGTGCTATAGCGATGCTGTATGCGATGGACGAGCTATAATTGATGTGGTATCACTTAATACGTGCGTATTTACGCGCAGATATATAGTACAGATGCGCTGTGTAGGCGTACGTTTGTGCGTTCAGGGACATCACACGAATGCTTGCTTATTGGGCACAGCACTTGGCGCTGCATACATAACTCCTTGTGTATTGTCGCTTCGCATCTTGCGTATAAACTGACACGTCACTTACCCACTGAACTAGAGTAGACTAATGGGCCAGGGACACATTAGGGCCTACTGCCTTCAACCACTTATTTTTATGATCAGAATTTATGTAAGTCACTGAGCAAAAAGACACATATGGAGCATCGGCATGGTGTGTATTGAGGCCCGTCTGACGAGAAGAATATCACCCAAGAATATCACCCCAAGGTTTATAAACCTGATTTCATTGCGTGTGTACTCATGTTTATTGATTGTGCTTTTGTCGTCTTGGTTGTTTATACGAACCTGGTCTATTCTCTCTTTTAAGAAAGCTTTCGTGGAATGTGATCTCCACAGAAACGATTCCCTGCAAAACTGTGCAGTCATCGGGGGAATCGCCAGAATTTTTTTTTTTTCGGTAAGGGAGGACGGGGTTCAATCCCCTACTCCCTCCGGTAGGGATGGGGGTGGTGTTGACTCTTCCCCTCCCCCTCCCCACTGCTTATCCCCGCCTCCGCTCTGGGCCAGTGCAGAGGCGGGAAATGCAGACAGCACACCTGTCTAAGGCAGTCACAGTCAACAATATTTAGAAGGCCTCTCCATCAGGACTCGTGCATTCCCGCTGATTACTTCATCCGACTCTGAGACATGTCATTTTTTTTTTTTTTGCAGTATCGCACTACGAGTGCTTTTGCTTGACTCGTAGAGGCACGTGTCGTGTGGAGATATGTCAAGAACCCCCCAGAAAGCAACCTCTTGAAATATGTCAACTCCTTACCAGAAGGCGATTTTCGAAGTATTTACTTATGCACGTGTCACTCTTTCAGTGCTCTTTTTTTTAGTATAACAGATTAAAAGACACCTCGTGGGCATAAAAACAACGGCCGTTTGAACAAAACTCGTAGAAATACGTTGACTCCGTCGATGCAGCAAAGTTTGTGCCAGCACGTGTAAGCTCAGACAAACGTTTCGGGCTCTGAATATACAGCGGTGTTCAACACGTGCTCGGGAGATAACCAACTTAGCTGACACCGTTGGCGCATCTGAACGTCGCGTTCGCTGTGTAACCCAATAGCTATCTTCAGTGAGAGATAGATAAAATAGAGCGTTTCGAGTCTTTCGTGCCGCCGAAGAGAACTCTCGAGTTGTTTTTTTCGACCGATCTGTTCCGTTTCCCAAAGAGGATGTTATTCAAGAATACCGAGACGCTGAGAAAGTGTATTACCAGCCTTTGTTTTTTTTTTTCGTTTTTTCCGAGAAAGCGACGTCTGCGTGCTTCGGTTGCGGAAAAGGGCGAAGCTCTCAAAACGAAGACGAAAACAGAAATGCGCGGGAAACTGACCGAGTAGTTTTTAGTACGGTGCTTGTTTAGTTCATTTTCACGTGACTAAGCAGCAATATATGGTCTTTGGCTAGACGGAATGTTTTTTTTTTTCCTCAGTGGTACGAGGAACGTGCCCCTCTCTTGTTTCCCTTTCAAACTTATACGGTCAAGCACTTACTTTCGGTTTACAGAATACTCATAAAACGTCTTAGAAATAAATATATATTGTATTGCTTAAAAATAAGGAGTTATATTGGATACTAATGACATCGGGGCACAATTTTACTCAAAATAATGACCCATTCCCTGTCATGTTACGCAATTAAATTCGATTGGTGAAGTTCAATGAGATATTGCCGGCCTCCAGTATCGGAACGGCACCTGGCGGAGCGGATATCAACTACACGCTTCCTTCAACGTGGCCTCCGCGATCTGCTTTGGCAGTCCGATGAAACACATTGTTAACTCAAAGAATACACCAGTGAATGCGAACGCCGACGTGCGGGTGGCATTACCAGACACCTAACTTCAGAATTAGGGTCACCTGTAGATAGCATTCTTTTTTTTTGTTCGAGTCAGCGCAGGCAACTTAGATAATATGACCGAAACTCGAGGACTGCGGAATACTTCCTCAAAGCCTGTGAGGGGTGGCCACAGGAAACATTTCTGCGTCGTCTGCGATCTCTCTCTCGTTCCCCCACGCATCATGGTAACAGCTCTGAAGTTGCAGCGAAGAACACAAACCAAACGAATAAATAAGAAGAGTGTGTACGTTGTCCCACTTTGTGTGGCGTCGTTCTACCCAGCCCCAAAACAATTCGCGACTAAAAAGACATAGTAAACGCGAACTGCCGTATCTCTCAGCGGATGCAAGCTGGCCGCTCCGTCAAGTGCTCTTAGAACGAGCCATTTCTTGTGTACGCGCACGAGGAGGGGTCAACAAGTGAGGCACACTGGGATTCGAATATCAATTGGAGCAGTGTGCCTCCGGTGACCGGCAAACTTGCATCGCCGAAGAAAACGTGATTTTCCTTACTCCAAGTGCACGAGTCGAAGTGTTGGCGCTTGAGTGCACGACATCGCAACTGTGCCAAGTTGGAGTGAACAGAGTGATATGCAGAACAGAGTGAAGTACAGAATGAATTACAAATACCTGCGTTTGCTCCACTGACAAGCAGAAAGAACGAAAATTTTGGTGCACAGATATTTATTTATTATATACAGAAGGATACAATGCTTTGTTAGAAAGTAGAGCAGTATCAAAAGTAATAATACATAATTTCATGACGGTGTTTTTTATAAAGCTTCTCACATTTGATTTATTTATGCGTAGATATAACTATTCCGACCCGTTTTAGTGGGAAGTAGCGTAAAGTACTTTAAAGCCATTTGCAAGTACACCCATGAGCTGGTACATTAAAAGCGGATTTTTTTTTTTTGTAATAGTGAGGAACAGCACCTAAGTAAGCACCTCGTACGTTAGACTGAGGCAATTGTAAAACATGCATTCCGCCGACTAACGCAACGTAGCATTTTAGTCACGGGGACATGCTCAGTTTGTAGAAAAATGAGGTATTGCCTACAGCATTACGATCGTCCTTTTCGTCTGTGGGATTTACTTCGAAGGAAATGCTTGCTACGTATATATAGTATTTTCTATGGCGTGAAATTAAGGGATGCGTATCCTTAGATGAAATCAAAACGAACAAAAAATTAAGCGTACCAGCCAATCGTCGACAAGTATAATGGAAAGCCAGTCTTGTGTAAGCCTCAAGTGACACCAGTACATCCATGGGTGTTTCAAAGATTAGCTTTTAAAACCAAGATGCAGTTGTCGAGGCCACTTGGAGTTTGCCGCGCGTAAATGTCGTCAGCTAATATACTCCGTGCGAACCTCATATCGGGAGTGTTTTGCGCAAGCAAAATGATCACGGTGAATTTGGTACGATGTGAGAAGACTTTCGTTATATATGACTTACTTGAGAGACCGTAATGTTAATTGTAAGTCTCTCTGACAATAAATGAATGATGGTAATTGCGTTACTAGCATGCAAGTAAAATGAATGATCATGAACAAATATGAGACAAAAAATCTTGGCTTGTATTTACGAAATTTTCTTATGCCAAATTTGTTTGCCACGCATAACTTTTTTTTCGAATACTGGTGCTAAAGTTATTTTTAAAAGAGCGACCTGGTGAATGCGAGAAGGCACTTAGACCAAAGAGCGTTGTGGATTTGAATGTTCTGGCTTTAGTGCGCCTCATGCTGGCTCCCGTCAGCCCGTTGTCCATCGTAAACCACTTCAACTAATGCATATTCAAGCACATTACTCGTATGAAGGATGAATCATTACGTCCCAGCGCCAATACGAACGTTGCGCTGCATGATCTATACAACGCCGCGACCTGTTTAACCAAGTACGTTGAAAGTCTCTAGAAGTTCGTTATAAAGGCTTTTCGCTGTACATAGTTGAAGCTATAGAGTTTTCTGAAATATTCCTAGAGAGAACACTGGCACTGCGATCGTTCAGGCATCACGGCAACGATTCGTTGTACATGGATTTGCCTAGTCTTCCCGCTTGCACCCCTAAGCACAGTTGTGGCTTTTCTAAAATCATTCTTGTGTGTTGGCTTTTGTTTCTGATTGAAGACTGACTCGTTGTGATCATGGTTGGCTGACTTCAGTTGGCCAGCCTGAAGGAGCCGAGGTGACGAAGTGGAGCTGCTGAACTTTTGCTCAACGTCGCCTCGCGGTGGAGTTCTGCACGCTGGGTTGAATTTTCTGTTTCTCTCTCTCTCTCTTCTTTAGCTTCTATTCAGTCATCTCTCTTTCTCTCTCTCATCATTCTATTCCCTGCCTTATCTCTTTCTTTTTGCTTCCTCCTTCCTTCGTCTTGCGATAAAGCCATTGCAGGCCACATGGAGACACGCGGAGCACGAAAGAACGAAACTTTGGTGAATCCGTGTACTATCTATCATTCCAGTGCTGGCTGAAGCGCCGTGCACTGCAGCTGCCATAGACACTAGCGCCAGATTTCCTTCTATGGTACTATTGCGAAACTCTATGATTCAAGCGGACACTCTTTCACTCGCTCTCGAAGTCACTGAACGGCTGCATGATGTCACGTAGGATCCGCCGAGCGGCCTTGCTGCTCAGCTGAGGAAGCTTGTCGACTTTTTCGATGATGCAACAGGCCACCCGAGGCCCGGAATCTCCAGACGACACGCTCGCTGGATTGTCCGGGTTCCGGCCCAGATCGTCCATGCCAGCGTGAATCTGCACAAACATAATTGATTGATTGACTGATTTATTGATTGTTTGATTTGACCGACCGACCGACCGACCGACCGACCGACCGACCGACCGACCGACCGACTGACCGACCGACCGACCGACCGACCGACCGACCGACCGACCGACCGACCGACCGACCGACCGACCGACCGACCGACAGACAGACAGACAGACAGACAGACAGACAGACAGACAGACAGACAGACAGACAGACAGACAGACAGACAGATAGATAGATAGATAGATAGATAGATAGATAGATAGATAGATAGATAGATAGATAGATAGATAGATAGATAGATAGATAGATAGATAGATAGATATATAGATAGATAGATAGATAGATAGATAGATAGATAGATAGATAGATAGATAGATAGATAGATAGATAGATAGATAGATAGATAGATAGATAGATAGATAGATAGATAGATAGATAGATAGATAGATAGATAGATAGATAGATAGATATGATGACCACCAGCTTTCTATCCACGTGTCAAGCTACCAAATTAATCGGTCACATAGTTTATAAACCGGAGATGAGACGCACATCCCATTCGTATGAAAAAAAAAACCTTACTTATACAAAAAAAAAACAAAAAAGAACAAGTGGAATGCCTAACGAAGTGCTGTGATCAAGGTTGAAAATGTCGTTTCGGCTCCATCCAAACTGAAAAGAGTTGTAATCCCCGATTTTTGTATTATCGAGTGCGAAGACCAAAAACAGTTTGACTGCAGTCAAAGCCGTGGATACAAAAAAAATAGATACAAAAATGCAGCACCAATAACAGAAATAACACAAGAACTTGAAAATACCATAACATACTGCAACATAATGTGGCAAGACTAACAAAACAAACCCCTAGGTCTTAAACCCTAACCATGCCCTCCGGTATTTCTCTCCTTTACACACATGTTCTTTTGCTGGTGCCCAAACTTCGAGCATGCTATATACCAGCATCTAATCAACCTCTCTGCCTTCCTCCTCTCTCGCTATCTCGAGCTAAGTATACCCTTTTTAACCATTGACTTTTATGGAACAATGAAACAAAAAATAAAACTGTAGTACTCACGTTGATGGAACGACCTACAATGGAGTGTGGACCAGTGAGCGACGCCACGGTGTCAGTGAAGACGACATTGCTTTCGCCATGCTTGTCACATGCAATGTTTCCGAAGTCCCCAACGTGTCTGCGTTACAAAATCAATATAGTGCTGAGCTCTTAAAATTTTGTTTGAACATTACTTTGCGTTGAACTCAGAGGCACCTACCTGACGGTGGACCTGCGGTCTCCGTGGGTGGCGTCGGTGGGGTTGAAGTGAGGTCCCGTTGATTGGCAGCTGTCGCTTAGGTTTCCCAGCTGATGCACGTGCATGCCGTGCATGAAGGCTCGGTGATCGCGTGCGCTCTCGTCGACCTTGAGTCCCATGACGTGCACGTGCACATTCAGATCATGGCCACCTTTCTGCGTGAAAGAACAAGAGCGTACACTATAATTTGGTTTGGTTTGGAAAAAATATATATATTCTAGAAAGTCCGAAGACGTGTGCCCTAGCACACTGTGGGCCCCTGCCACGATGCAATAGTCAGGCCGTATCGTGGGCCCTCTGGACAGCCAAACACAGGAAGTTGTGACGTAATGTCCGGACTCTACAGAGCGGAGTGCTACTTCCTGGATTATGCTGTATCGGTGCCGCGTACCGAAGGCCTTCTTATGGTCGAGCTCAATGTAGTGTTCGGCGTGACCACCCTTGCAGTGCATGCACGCCCCTCCCCCTCTCTCTTTTCTTACGTCCTCCTCTCTTTCCTCTAGGCATCCCTCCCAGCGGCAGTTAGTCAAACATGGGCCGATCACAGAGGCGCTGCAAAACCGGGGGACGGGAAGAAAGCTCGCTGTGCCTCCAATCCCGGAGGCGATGCTAAATCGCGTTTTGTGCCGATATCTTGCGGAGGAGAGCGGGGCAGGGTCTCTATGTCGACTGAGAAAGAAAAGAAACTGGCTTTCGCACAGGCGTCGTGAGTTAATTATATGTGAGTTAATTATTTTCTTATACATCTATCTTCAGCACATTCTGAAATTCATCAAATTTATGGTGCACTTAATACTTCCTTTATTTTACCTGCTGCCAGAGACTTATCAGTCCGGTCACGGGCTGCTGAAGTTCTTTCGCAATAGCCGTATTTGGCTGAAGCTTGCAGATGGCGAAGTCGTATTGCGTCGCCGACACTGCGTTGTAGAAAAAAGGTAATATGATTTAACTATACTCTGAGATCGTATACCAGGTGGCGCTTTTCGTTGAATTACGCAAACACAAATTTACCGACTCAATAAAAATACTCAATAAAAAGACAACAATAAAAATGCAATAAGACGTTTTGGCACCGAGAACGGTAGGCTTGTTTGCAAGGCTCCCGTTCGTCTCTTTATTCAATAATTCTTCCCGACCAGATGGACATCTTTCAAAGCATTGATTTAATTTTACTGACTGAACCATCCCGTTAGCTTCAACTAACACTCTACCAGTATAGAAGAGTGCTTCGTGTGCTAGCCCGTTATCTAACGCTGAACTTGTGGCATGCACCGACATCTTACAATCGCATGGATGCATACTTTGTAACCTGATCTCCAACTATGTATCCGGCCCAGTCTATCCCGACGTGACAGTACCTTGCCGCCCCATAGACTTGTAAACTGCCTACTCATTTTGTTAGTGGAATGGCTGGCTGGCCGTAGTGTGAAGTATGCGGGTGCATCGAAACAGTCACGCACCTTCGCTGCTTCTATACGAGTACAACCTCTTCAACTCCGAAAAAGCGACCCTCTCAGTCACGCCAAATTAGCTGGACAACCACCATTTTACAGAGAACAAAATCTCAGAGCCCTGGCGTACCCAGCCTTTAACACTAATCGCTCTGATGGCGTTCCTGCGATTTCTTCAAGCAACCAGAATCGGTCAGAAACCGTGACTGTTTGCAGACCATGTTGCTGCGTAGTACATGGACGGTGCTACGGTCGTGACCTTGTTTTGTTTGTTTTGTCGCCTGCTGTCGTAAACTCTCGTTGTTCTCTTTGTGTTGGGTCACACAAAAGCTGGCGGGCACGTTTCGTGCAACTTCTCTTGTTAACCACTTGTACAGAATGCTTGGTCGGTCATTGAGTGCCTACCGGTTTATGATGACGATTGTTTTCTACCTACGACACACGACAAACATCGGCCTAAGCAGCTCCACTGTAAAACTCTCTCTCAACTACTTGTGAACTAGCGTTACAAAAGCTGTTACGTACGCTTTAATTTCTTGGCATCTTCCCGTTGCAGCAGCCCGTTGTGCGGCCTGTGTCGTGGGCCTTGATGTATCGCCACCTCGGAATCATGGTGCAGGCCGGGTGCCCTGGCACGGTGGTGCTGGTGCCCGTGGCTCTGGTTATGGCTTGGCTCACTCCTTCCCTGTTCCCTCCAGCCACCCTTGTCACTGCCGTAATCCTCGCCGTGAAGCTTCGCTTCGAGAGAGTTGCTCACTACGCGACGCAACTTTCTCTCCTTCGCAAATTTGTCGATGCTTGTTTCGCCACCACCGTCCGCAGAATCCTCGTCAGTGGTCGTGGCTGTTCCACAGAGGCATGCAACGAATCTGTGTTATACATTTTAAGTCATGATTGCACAATTCCATTTCTCTCTCTCTATCTCTTTGTTCAGGCTCCAGCGCTGCTAAAGTATGACCGTTTGTCATGCACAGCATTGTTACAGGATGTAAATAACGGTTCCAGGAGCTGATTTTCGCCCATTTTTCACACGAGCATGAAAAGAATATTACTTTTCTTTATTGTGCCAATCTGAGTAATGTGCACAAATTGAGTATTGGTACTGATCGAAGGTCAGTTGCGTTAAAAACATGACTGTGTAATCATTTGTCGACTGTGTCTCTGCCTCAACCCATTAAAGGCTTCACATAATATCATGGTTTGACCCAACAGGAAGTTATCCAGTAATATATTTTTTTCTTAAAAGGTACAAAGAGAGAGATAGATAGAGAGTTTTAAGGAAGAGCTACAGATGTTTGCCTGGCTTTTCGCCTTACATGCCACTCAAGCTGCTGGGTGCTGGTTAGGATATACCCTGATAAACACATCACACGTAAAGCCACACAAACGTAGATTACATTTATGCAAAAAGGAAGATAACGTATCGCTGCGTGATGCCGATTGAAGCCTTAACTTGAAATTAGTTTTTATCGCTACAATGGAAGGGTTGTCAGTGGGCCTACTTGGACAATATTGCCTACTTGCAAGCCGGGTAAATTACAACAGCCACAAGAACATAAAGATAAAAAATCATCATCATCATCAACAACAGCAACAACCAAAATCGCTATAATTCGATGAGCACGGTAACCAGACGGGTGGTGAGAAGTGTTAAAACAGGGGCTATAAGACAAAGTCTTAACAGTCGTACTCATTACTTCTTAAGAATATAGATATTCAGGATTCGTTATTTAGAGTGTTGCAGTGATATATAACGTAAGCAATATGTTTTAAGACACACGTACGTAAGCGCAAACATAACTTCAGCAGTGCGAAAAAAAATTCCGTGGAGTTCATCGAAAGCTATAGCACTGAAATAATAGCGTGTGATTTCACTCTATGCTTATTGTTACGGCTCCTGGGCATAGCTTTGGTATACATGTAAGATAGTAATCATCAGTGCATAAAGAAAAAAATAATTGTGATTTTACGAACAGTATGGGTTTGAAATAATTAACATCACCTGTGCACTTGTGTATAAGAAATGCAATATGGACGACGTGGGCATAATACCCAACTGTTTATATTACAGTAGCACTTACTTACTATAAAAAAAGTTGACCACTGCACTTTTCACAGTGATCTCCTCCCTTGGTTTCAAATCTTTCAACAAACTTCTACTCCTGAAATACTTGCTTTTGAAGCTTCTGTAGAACCCCGTTAAGGTTATATCAATTAATTGCTTTGTATAACTATTCAAATAGCTTATTATATCGTAGAACGTAAACGTTATCTTACTTTTTAGCCGTCTTTGGTACATTCTTATATATCATTTGTGAAACACGACCCACTTCAAGCCTCGTATACGCTTTATGCGGTATGCCGCGCAAAGTGCGTCAGTCACTTTGGAAATGGGAAACTTTGTTCCTAATCCATTTACCCTAACGTAAGCATGCGATACACTATAAGCGTTTATGCTTTACACGCTATAAAAGCACATGGTTGCTTTTACGTTCAAGGTCACGGAACTTGCCCCGCCGCCTCTGTAAGTGCACCGGTGTCCACGGAATGTAGGAAGAAGGAGCGAGGACATACATCGTCACCAGGCACTTAGTCGTCTGATGCGAGAAGCGTGCTATCAGCATGCTTCTCAAACACTGCCAAGTAAAGTGCTTGAAAGCTATATTACAACAGCGCAGCATGGACGCAGCTATTACTCCAATCCGTGATATATACGTCACATGTACGAGCTCGTACCTTTCTCATCCATGAGCTACCACTTCACTTCTACACACGGCAGGAAGAGTGCTAAGTGATGACAGAAAGAGGCACAATGAATGGGTATAGCGTATCAACGACTATCACTACGCCTACCGAGACGAGTTGTCAGTCATCAACACACTCATCTATAACTCCACTCGCTGGGAGCTCGATGTCGAGCGATAGCAACACCGTGCACTCTGCCGCATTACTACTGCCTTTTGCAACCGATTACCTCAGGTACATCAGTAAGGGCCGTTCCACGCGCTTCCCGCACAGCCGCAACGCACGTGCCGGGACCCCTGCCGCACTCAAGCGGGGGACAAATGAGCCGATTGGCGACGCTCTTTCACCCTCTGCAGCGTCGCCAATTGGCTAACTTGCCCCCCGCTTGCGTGCGGTAGGGGTCCCGGCACGTGCGTTGCGGCTGTGCGGGAAGCGCGTGGAACGGCTCTGTCGACACACGCAAGGCGTGGTGCTCCAAGAAGGAACTATAGAGGTATAGCGTAAGTTTTGCATCAGTGACAGCCAGGCCCTTTGTCCGAGTCTAATTCAACATTGTCAACCTTTGTTGGACCCCGTGTCTTGTTGATTGATTGATTGATTGATTTGTGGGGTTTAACGTCCCAAAACCACCATATGATTATGAGAGACGCCGTAGTGGAGGGCTCCGGAAATTTCGACCACCTGGGGTTCTTCAACGTGCACCCAAATCTGAGCACACGGGCCTACGACATTTCCGCCTCCATCGGAAATGCAGCCGCCGCAGCCGGGATTTGAACCCGCGACCTGCGGGTCAGCAGCCGAGTACCTTAGCCACTAGACCACCACGGCGGGGCGACCCCGTGTCTTGTAGTTGTGCGTTTAGAAGGATAAAGATTTTTGGTCACTGTATCGGAAAGGTTGTAACTGGAAGTCAGCTGGTGGTATCTACGTAAAAAGCCGATCTAAAGATGACGTACGAAGTGCACGAAGCCTGCGCTGGCCTCGACGCGTGTTAACAATCTCCGCGGTTCTAGTCTCTACATTCTGGCGGTCCGTCTCGGTGGTAGAGTGGCTGCGGTGATCGGTTCCTGAGCTGAAAGTCGTGGGTTCGAGTGTGACCGCATTTCAGCTCTATCGAAACGTGGCCGTATAACGTACGCAATTCAGTGCACATTAAAAAAAAAAACGCCAGACGGCCAAAGCTTTCGGATCACTCCTTTACGGCGTGTCTCGTAATCATATCAAGGTTTTGGCAGCTAAACTTCACATATTCTCATATGTTAGTGTCCACATGCTGGCGGCTTCGTTCCATTAATTTATTGTGAAAAGCGTGTAGGATGTTCATGTAAATAGATGCTTATTTATTTTCAATGTAGTTGCTCTGTGCTGCCCTCGTTTTGGGTAGTGTGCTACACGTTCAAGTCTCGTGAACTCACAAGACAGGCCGCTGCTCTTTTCCAAACACGCACCTGTGCATTTATTTCTAGTTTCAGCCATTTGTGATGATTCAATATACCCAAGTAGCTAAACAGCTACTTATACCTGAGCAGCTAAACCAAACTAAACAGCTACCATATACCTAAGCAGCTAAACCTGCTATATTGCTAACAGGAAAAGCAAACAGTACCTGCCTCTTACACAGCGCTGCAGCTGCCCACGTCGGTCTTTTTCGCTTAAATATTTATTATTGTTTTTGATAGTCGAGCATTATATGGTCCTCGCTGCTGAATATTTGTTGTCAAAACACGACGGTGGGGACTCATATTTGTTTGTGTCGAGTTATCGACTTCTGGGTCAGGGTTGTGATTCGTAGTCATGTTAATAAGTTTTGTTTTCTAAACACCTTGTGGTGCTTATTTCTTTACTTCATTTAGCCTCTGCGTTCTATATTACTGCTGCTGGCTGTTACGTGTTCATTTATGCTTAAATCTGTCGCTTTATTTTGTACATTTAGTACACACATAAACAGGACACATAGTTTCATGCCTATTTTACAGTTTGCTAGAATTATACAAGCAAATAACTCTCTTACTATCTTTGATGTCGCATCGTACGTTTATCAGACGATATCTGTACTAATTTTGTTAGCCCAGACAATTTTCACTTTGCGACTTCCTGAAGTTGAATGCATTATATAGCCACGTTTTTGTACATGCAATAGCCATGAATAACAACGGAATTAAAGCAGTTATGTCTCCTGTATTATCTATGCTGCAATGATGCAACACAAATGGCTTTTGGGGATCTTTTCCTAGAAATAATTCCTGCTTGGACGTTTGGCATTAATTTAGTGTAGAACTACATATGATTACGATCGCTTTCTGTATGATGGTATTGTCATGACACAAACCGTGATTAACATTGGTGTATATAGGTGATTTGTAGCCAGCCGACTAACCGTTCGTTTTCAACGTGACCCCTCCGTCTACAACTGACCATCATTCAACACAAAATTATCCTCTGACCAAGCGTATCAAGAGTGGAATCAATTTGCTGTGTAGGATTTCTTTGATTTCATTTATTTATAAGTCCCCCCTCCCTCCCTAAAAAGAAGCTTACAGCTCAAAAGTTTGTTACCAAGGCAATGTGAAAAACTTGCTAATTTGAGTGGTTAAAAGCGTTCTAACGCCATTCATAGTAGTCGCACTCTGCTAGATATCTCGGGCCGAATTTACAAAACTTCTCCTACGTAAGTATGTTTTCCAATTGGTCAGCCAGCATGGCTAATGACATGTATCGCTTCATAATTGACTGAAATATTCTCTCGGGGATATTTTTTGGCGTAAGTCGTTTATGTGAATACGGGCCCTGAAATGTATATCCATTAAACTGTTGGTCCCCGGCTGTATTCTTTGTAGCCTTGTAGCAGTACATGCGCCCAGATAGGAGTCCGTTATCGAGAAAGCAATGCTCTTTCGAAGACTAACTTTACAAGATATACTCTTGCCTGATTGAGAAAGTCCCGGTCACCATTGAATTTGCTGTGGCTAGATTTCACAAACGCCAGGCGTGAATGTCACTTCAACGGGACCATCAATAACAATTATGCGCCAAGCCTTCTTTTTGTAATTGTTCATGTCTCGGTGTGAACCTCTGCAGCGCATCATTTACGATCAGTCTCGCGGTATAGACTCGCGGATCTCGCACTGAATGTCCCGCCTTTCGTTGATTGCAAAAGCGAACTGCTCTCATTTTAAGTATGAAGCACTTTTAATGCGTACTTGCTTGGAGTGCGTCATCGCTGTTTGAGCAGAAAGACGCACTGATGGCCCGTTCACGCCGTGGAAAAAATTAGGATGGTGGAACAATGTTTGGGTAATGTTCATGAAAACGGACTCTTTGTGATCAATATTAGAACATCAAAACACTGTGGTTATAAAGTCGCAAATATGTTCGATTCGAAGACGCCTTTTGTTTAATATGTCGTCACTGTGGGTGTCGAAGCAAAAGTTTGTCATGAAACACACCCTCGCAGAGTAAGATGTTCTTACGCGATTAGTATTACAACGATAGCGTTTCCAAGACAAGTGGTTACAAATCGAAGGATGGGAAAACAGGCGCATTGGTTGGGAGCGCGCGTGGCTGAAAACAAGTGTCCTTACGCGTTCTAAATGGCAAAAGGACCACACAGGGCGCTAACAGTCAATTGAAGTTTATACTAGCAAATGACAGGTTATGATAGTTGATACTATTTGTTTCCTGGAATAAAGTTCAATTGACAGCCTGTGCCGTGTGCTTTCTACTCTGTCACACATGTCAGTCTAAAGTGACGCTGTTATAGCCTTGAACTACTTAGTTATATGAACGCAAGCAAAGCAGCGAGAGTGGCAGTCAAGTTTATTGGCAACGTTAGTGCAAGCGGCGCATGCGACGGGACGACACCTTTAGTGCATGTTCTTCCTTCAGGCACCATGCTTCATCGCAGAAGCAAGTGTAAAGTCATGCTTGCACTCGAGCATTCGTGTTAGTCACACTGTTCAAGCGGTGCTGTTGGCATGCTTCGCATCGCCACCAGCTGGCGCTGCGGGCGGGGGCGGGGCTTCCGGGTTACCGGCGTGTGGTGGCGCCGGATGATGAGGCTGGTGATGCGGGTGGTGGGGCGGATGCTGATGCGGGTGGTGTTCGACGGGGGGCAACAGCCTGTGCAGCCTCACGCCGTTCTCCTGGGTCAGCAGGCGCAACTGGTGAAGCTGCTCCTCAACTTCGGCCAGGCGCCGCAGGGCCTCACGAAGAAGGGGCGTGAAGCAGGGCACGTCGACCGCGCGGTTGCTGTACGCCGGCGCTGCTGCGGGAGAAATGAACAAACGAGGACTTCAGTTCACTGGCCCTGTCTTCTTCTTCTTAAAAAAAAACACGACAAAAGGATTGTGATATTCCGCAAATTCGTTAATAAACGCGCAATGCACGAGCTCAACGAGTTTCATGTGGATAAATAATATGAGCATTCAAAAGACTGCTGTTTGCACACACTGTAAGAAATTGTGCTCACGTCATTATTTGCATACACTACCATCCGTCTACCTGAATGTTCATTTATCTATTTGTATTTTTCCACCTTTCGTCAACGGCGCAGGAAGTTTAGTCGCAAAGACTATGCTCACATCCCCGTAAATAGTAAAAGCTTGTTCTTCGTCGTGATACGCGTCGTAGCAAGACTAGCGTCCTCGGCAGATCGTCAGCGAGCCCTAACACTGGACAACTGTTTTTCTAGTGCTGCGTTCACGCAAGAGAATAAACTAATCAATCGTTCAGTCTCCAAACCAAGATATGAATATGAGGGACGCAGTAGTGGGGGCTTCCATAAATTAGGACCACTTGAAGTTCTTTAACGCGTGCTTATGCGCCTCGAGCATTTTCACCTCCATCGAAAATGTGATCGCACCGGTCGGCATTTAATCCAGTGGCTTTTCGGGTCACCAGTCGGCCAATAAAACCACTGGACCGATACAGCAGTTCAACTTGACACGCATCACAAACGCGATTGTTTAAAAATGTGGTTAATGATTTTGAGTGCTTCAGGGTACTCTACTACGGGAGAGCACAAAGCCGTCTCGTGGGCCTCATACTTTATGAGGTCCTGTTGACAAAAACTACCGCCGGAACTAGTCCACGCAGCCCACGTTAGCCGTCGCGAATCAACACACTAAATAATATGTTCGACTGTGTTTAGAAAAGGTGGTTAACGATGCAGAGTATATGGTACTCTACTAATGTGAGAACTAAAGCCGTCCAGTGGGTCTCACAGTAAAGGCAGCACCAACCTAGTTTAAGCTCTTTATACATGGACCCACGCCAATACTTGCGAGCTGTACGTGACTTAAGGCTGAAAAGAGAAAATGTGTTATTTCTGCCCAGCGCTTGCCCATAACTTGGCGCTGATCGAGCCGTGCTCTCATGCAACTGTAGGGCTGCAGAAATAGTTTTTTCTCTCCTGAATAAATCATGTAGGTCAAATAACCGTAATTAGCCGAAGACTACGACTTTCCCATCTTCATTCAAGTAATTTTAACGATTGTTTCTTGAAAACAAAAGTTTGAACAGTTTTCAAGGTGGAAATTAGTTTTCAATCGCTTCGCGGGCTTTCACCTTATAAGCAGGCGTTACTTGCACAGCGCTTAGTACTCGAATGGCACGCTCACCATTGCAGACGCAGGTGGGACATCGTCCTTCTGGTGCGGACTCTTCGGCGATGCATCCCGGGGCGCACTGCACCACGGGACACTGCTCGGGCCCGTCACAGTCGCACACCTGGCAGCCGTTCGGGCCCAGCTTGGTGCCGCGGCACTTCGGTCCCGAGCACTGAGGTACCGGGCAAGCCTCGGGCGTCGCCACCGACGGCTCAGTCGGAACCCCTGCGTGCGTCAGCGACGTCAACGTCTTGTTCACTGGCGTAGCCAGAGGAGGGTGAGGAAAAGATTCAACCCCCCTCCCCAAATTTTGAGTTTTGCATGTGCACATCTACACGCACACAAATAAATCCACGCGTGGATATACATATATAAAGTTTCGTAGAAATTCCCCCCCCCCCCCCACCTTCCCGAAAAAGGCTTCTGGCTATGCTACTGATCTCGTTGTATGTGCAGGAAATCCTCGCTGGTACGTTTGGCATATTCTCAGCTTCCCCATGATGAAGGAAACACAGCTACCTGAGTTAGCAGGAATTGGTTCGCACTTATGAAGCGCGCGCACACACACACACACACAAAAAAAAAAACATGGGTACTAAGCAGAGTCTTGTGTGTATCTTTATTTCGTGTTTTTACGCTTCATAAGCATGTATCTGGTAAAAGGCACACTGTCCGTTTGCATGTACCTTAGAGTACTCGAAGGCGAAAGCCGTCTTCTCTTTTTTCTCAGTCGATTTTACTGATCCCATCTGGAAGCTTTCAGCGCCCAACAATGTTTTGCACAGCATCCGAGATCGTAAGAATCGGAACCTTCTGCACCCACTGTGGTTTGGCAGGGCCTCCGTGGTTGGCCCACCTTTGACCAAGAGACGATGTCATGCGATGAAGTCATCATGCGCTGTCTCTTGATGTGACGTCATGATGACGCCAATTTTGGCAATCTGGGACGACGTATCAATAGGTGATTATATGATGATGATTTTTGCATCACTCGTATTACCGACGCTGACCTTTTGCATTTAATAAGGCTGCCTTCCCGAAGCCTTGGATGGCATTATCGACATAAAATGGATGGCATTATCACCTTAAAATGGTGTTACGAGCCTCATTCCCAGAATCCCGTTCTGCAATTCTCGTCTGCACATAGCAAATTAGTAAAGAGAGTCATCGTACAGTCATGTTTCCAAAACAACTTAGAGAAGTCCTGCCACTACGTCTTGGAAGCTAGTCTCCTAGCACAGTCGAAGCGCCTGGAAAGAAAAGGGTACCCGCGCCCTTTGCTAATAGCGGAGGCAATGCACAGGAAAAAGAAACGTATGGGCATTGACGGTAACAGAGAGGGCACCACAGCGGGAAAAGGTGGTGGTCATTTCGTTTATGAACTCTGTGTCACACCGCCTAAAGAAAGTAGGACAACGCCTCAACGTGAAGGTGGTCTTCAGTGCCCCTGACAAGTTGCCCCAGTTGACAAAGAGGACCTGCCCCGTAAAGAAAGACGGAAAGCAGTACATGGTTAGGCACAGGACGCAGTTCGTCGACTGTGCGCTACGTGTGGTGTACAGGACCTCGTTGTCTTGCGAGGCATGTTACGTGGGCCGAGCGGGCAGATGCCTAAACGAACACTTACGGCAACACGCCAATAATGTTAGATGGCTTCCTGGCGCAACACGTGAGCATGTGTCGGTGCACTCCGCGTTTCGAAAAGACAACAGTTAAAAGGTAAGACTATAAGAAGGACTAAAGAAGGAAGACTAAAAGGTAAGACTAAAGGAAGACAAAGGTACGACTAAAGAAGGAAGAACAAGAGCGTATAATCTCTGGGGCTTCTCAGATGGCGCTTGAAACGAGCGCATGCGTAAGCAAGCCATCAGTTGCTCTGAAAGAGAGCTATGTTTTAGATGCGGAAGCATCTTATACACTCGCCTTGTAGTGCGCCGTCCGCGCCGTCCGCACCGCTTCTCGAACATTCGACAGCTGACGCGCGCGCATGCGCCGTCGCGCCGTCGCCCACCATCTGTGCCGCGCGCGCTTCTCCTTCGAGAACATTCGACAGCTGACAGCGCATGCGCCGTCGCGCCGTCGCCATCTGTGCCGCGCGCGCGCTTCTCCTTCGAGAACATTCAACAGCTGACAGTGCATGCGCCGTAGCGCTGTATATATACTCAAGGTTGGCGCTCGCTCGCTCAGTTGCCGCTCGTCGGTTGGTTTGTACGGCGCGTCGACGTCCAAGGTCGCGGTGAAATGAATTCCAACGAATCCACAAACACAATGATCGACGTCCCTTCGACCAGCGCCGTCCTTTCGCATACGTGTGTACGTGTTCACTCATTTAACACCCCCTCCTACTACCACGTTAACCAATTTAGCCATCGACCCAAGTAAGTCGCAATTTAACACCCCATTTCACAACCACGTTAACCAATTTAGCCATCGACCCAAGTAAGTCGCACTTTAACACCCCGTTAACCAATTATATGCTCCGCATCCTCCTCAGTGTTCCCCCGAGGGAAGCTGCGGGCAATTTTTTTGTTTTGTTTATTTTAGGGACGAGGTTTGGCGTAGCTGGCTCAGTGATTGTTGATGATAATTCGTATCTTTACATCTGTCACTTTCTCACTGTTTTTTTTCTGTTCACTCGGGTATATTAAAAGCCTTCTTGTCAATAAAAAATAGTAGTTGGAAGTCAGCGCTTGTCCCGTTCTTTTCCTGTCCGCCGCGTATTTTTTCGTGCTGTTAAACGTCAAGTTTCTGTTGGAAACAACGAGCGGCGCTTTCAACGCCTTCTTTGATGAGAAAGATCTCGAAGTATGTCGCAGGACCCCGTACAGTGACATGCTGACCCGATGGCCGTGCATTCGATCCAGGCCGTGGCGGTCGCATTTCGATGAGGTTGTTGGCCGCGTATTGTGCGATGTCAGTGCACGATAAACATCAGATGGTCGAAATTTTCGGAGCCCTCCACCACGGCGTCAATTATAATCATATCGTGGTTTCGGGACGTATAATGCCTGATATTATCCCGTGTTCCGACAATAGGCTATTGTCCGCGTTTCGAGCACACCCTAGTCTTGTGGGAGAACTGGCGAGGAGCGTTTTACCGTGTTCGATCAAAACATAAACAATAACAACGAAACAACAGCACACGGATCATCTTTAAAGTAACCTTACTTCGCGCATACTGTGCAGTTTACTTTCAATTTAAGCGCATCGATGAGAAATCTTAATACAGCGTTTATTATTTATTTTTTTTTTACTCCTGCAAAGATGTCTGCGCACTAGCAAAGTACACGTGGCTTTGTTTAGGCGCGTGAAGTTTACCAACACGCCAGGACGACGGTTTCATGAAGCCAATCTGCCGATAAGAAAGAGCAGAAGCGCAGCGTCACGGTTCGCATACATGCGTGAGCGCCTCCTGTCTTCATCGAGGATGAAGCTCTCGAAAATTCCACGAACGGTAGGCGCCGGCCAACTGCGCGTGCGCGCGATGGCTAGCTTGGTCTTTATAAACGCGATACGCAGCAGTGCGAGGGAATCATTTGTCGTCGCCGCCACGCACGCTTCGCTACCTTCCGGGGATAACCGTGTTGGATATGGACCGACGCTTCACGCCGAACTGTACTCTTGCCATGTCCGCGTGCTGGGACCTATGGCCAGTCGTCGGAGACACCTGGACGTTACCGTCATCGGGCCACCAAGGGCCCGGCTAGGAACAACGGACTGCGTCAAAGTAAGGTCAATCATTGCTAGCGAGTGCTGGCTCGGGAAACCAGGCGCCTAGGTTGGCATACCGCAGTTAACGAAATTGCGTGCAGCATTGCAACGCCGAGTTTTCGGTTTCCTGAAGAGTCATGTCGGGTCCTGTCAGTGACGGAAGCGCGAGGGGTTGTCTGCGCACATTAGTTTCAGGCCGAGCTAACACTAGGAAGGCATAGCTTGTCTAGGGTTGCCCCTTCTGCGTTTGCGTCACGAACAGGGCCCGTTTCGAATGCCGCTGCAAACGGTGCGCGTTGTCGTGTCAAGGAATGCCCGCGCGCCTGAAGTGCTCGTGAACGATAAGTGCTTGCCCGGACCAGTTCGGCATTCGGAATGGTGTGCGTGTGGGGTATACCGACGAACATGCTAACCTTCTCTCTCCTTCCAGCTTCGGGCCTTTCCCGCATCGCTACGATTTTTCGCGTGCCTTCAACGTACGCGCGACCGCATGTCACATGTTTGGCATGTCACGTTCCGCCAAACCGACCGCTGCATTCAGAGGTACGCACATTACGTCAGCCATTGCTATTTTTTCTGCTTAATTGTCCTTTTTTTTTTCTTCTACTTCTATAGGCTTGCCGCCGATGAATCCTGCTACAAGTTTGTGAACCTCGTTACCTTCCTGATGACCGCAATGTTCACACACGCACCGTGCCACTTGCCTGACGCAGTGTCCATCGACTGTCGAACTCGCCAAGCTAGCGCCATGGCAGTGACTACGCCATTTTCGTGAGCGTCTTTCACTGCTATTCCGGTCAGATCTGATATTCGGGTCTCCGTTTTTTGGGCGTGCTACACGCCGCGTAGGTTGTCGGGTGAGTACACCGCATATTCGCTTGCGAATTTTCCTATTTTTGTTTCGTCACCGCAGATAAGCGACACTTGTGGCTCCTGCATTCGTCGTTCGAGACCACGCCGATCCTTGCCGAGAGACGTCGACAGCTCTTCGTGGTCACCGGAGTGCTTGGTGACCAAGGTGCCTCAACGCCTGGCCAACTTCTTCGTCCGGACGCGGCTATGCAACCCTACCATGGCGGCCTTCCTATCACATGAAATCTACTCGCCCTTGGTCTTCCGGAGCGTCAGAAATAATTTTGCGTAAGCGCATCTTTCCCAAAACTGATACGCGCGTGGGCATATTGCAAGGGCTGCCTTATGTACTGTATTTACGTATATCTGGTGTTATGGGGGGGTACTTGCAGCTGGGCGAGTTGTTTCATTTGAAATGTTGCGCACTCCTGTTCAGCTTGTTCTGGCTAGCTTGCTGCCCGCGCTCATTTTGTGCACATCCATCATGTTTTGACGCTCTTCTCAACACCGCAGGTCTACGAGGTCATCTGTGGACGCTGCGTCCAGTATTCACGGATGTGCCGCCTCATGCTGCTGTCTCCCCGCCTTCAGTCTTTCTCCTCCTGCCGACAGTGGTTCCATGCTGTCACCTAGTGCCCTTCGAGTGGATGTGCAGTCCTGTTTCGCTACGGACAATATTTCCGCGATTCAACTCTAATAAAGATTTTCATGAACGCATGTTTCTTCCCAACCGCTGTTCTAATGCTCACTGGCTTCGGCTAGTTTGAGCACATTGGCGTTTAGTTTCAATAGTACTCTTCTTGTTGCAAGCTAAGACGTCAAGCAAACCCCTTTCGGCCAAGATCTTCCTATAGTAATCGGGTAAGGCACAAAAATGTACAGCGCAAGAGTACTTAGACGTTGTATTTCTGCACTGAAATTCGTAGCAGCAGCTCCAGTAAAACTGTTCTGGTTCATTGCTGAAGCCAATTGCGGTGAGAATGCACCTGCAAAGGACCGCTTGCACGGCCACGTCGTGTCGATAGTCTGACTGCATCAAATACGCACCCTTAAACAGCCAAGCTGTTATGGAAGCTGTGCCATCGGCGTTACTGCGTTCATGAAAAAAAAAGCCTCGTGACGAGGGTGGAAATGGTAATGGGGTCATGTGGCAAAGAAATTAATACTGCGAAAGATGCATTTTGACACTTTGGACATAAATCGCGGAGATTGCAGCGCGAAATTTTAAAATCGAACTTCAACCACGATTTTCTCCACTAATAAAGAACTTATGTTAGTGAAACGTGTGGCATTAGAGTACTCGCAGTTCCAAATCAAATCATTGTTTCTCTGTAGTGTCCCTTTAATACAAGAATTCGAACAGTGCTACTTATTCAATGCTCAATTATATGTCTAGGTGTACGCGGGTGCCGAGGCACTTGTCAGCCCTTCCTGCTTTCAGTCCGGGAATACTGATCTTCCAGGACTAGTGAACTCGTATGTAGGGCAGGATATAATTTACAAGATTTAACTTTGTCATAATTTGAAAACTTGAATGATTTCCCATCTCTGGAACGTGTTACGAAAGCTAATAGTGTTTTATGGTTTGTTTTGTCTTTTTGCTTCGTGGTTTCTTGCATGTAAACAAGTGCATATCATTCATTTTATCACGGCATTATTACATGAATGGCGTAGTAGCTTGTTTAAGATGTTCTTTTTCGTATGTTGTGTATATGTGATGCTTTCTGCACACATTGTGCAAAATGTATACGGAGCTTTGTCATGAGCTTTACTTTACTGGAGTGGGCGAGAGTGCTTGCACGCATTTCTTCCCCTCTAGTCCACGCCTATTTGCCACTCTTTTCACATCTGCGTGTAAATTAGAATCAAATAAAATATAAATCACATTGTGTCCCCACTGACCTGTGGTCTCTGTGAGGAACAGGGCCACGATGAGGACGCCCAGGGCGATGCAGCGTGTCCTCGGCTTCATGATGAAGTCGCGACTGCTCTTTCAGAAGTCGCGAGGTCCCAAGAGAGCGTCGTCCAGCCACACGCGCTTCCCGTACAGTATGTCTTTCTCCGCTCTCTCTTGTAATACGCAAGAAGCGACCGGTGGCTGACTTGTCACGACGCCTGCCTATCGGTGCCCTCCACGAAGACGATAACACGTAATCGGGAAAAGTAAAAAAAGAAATAGAGACACACGATCCGCTTACGGCGCGGCGCGAGATTATGTCTCCCTCATATTTCGCGCTGCACCTCTCCTCCTCCTCGTTCGCACTCGCGTCTTTTCTATGCTCTCGGCATGCTGTAGATCTCTGCGGTCCCGACTGCGAGGCGGTGATTAAGACGAAAACAACGCGACGCTTCCCCTCGGCTTGGACTTTGACCTTGGCATGAGGAGAGCGGGAAGTGGCGAAGAACGTTCGCAGCAGCATTCAGGGACACTGCTGGAAATGCCTCTCTATTTATATGAACTTTCTAACTCGGTGTATATGCGGGAAAAGCTACACAGCTATCAAAGAAACGCACATGGCCCCACCGCGGTGGTCTAGCGGCTAAGGTACTCGGCTGCTGACCCAGAGGTCGCGGGATCGAATCCCGGCTGCGGCGGCTGCATTTCCGATGTAGGCGGAACTGCTGTAGGCCCGTGTACTCAGATTTGGGTGCGCGTTAAAGAACCCCAGGGGGTCTAATCATATGGTGGTGTTGGGACGTTAAACCCCACATATCAAAGAAACCCACATGATCCTTTATTCATTGTCTTAAGACGACTCGAAGGCGGAAAGCCATCGTATTTTACCTCACAGTCGATGTATTGATCCTGACATCTACCCTTCCAAAGCTTTCTGCTCCGAACGTGGTTTAGCACCGCCTTCGAGGTTGAAGGCACCTCACCTGATTTTGCATTGCCTCCGTGATTGGACTACCTTTGGCCGAACGGTTGTTACATATATTACGTGATCACGTGACGTAACGTCATTATGACGTGAATAACATTAGTCATCTGAGACGTCATCTTGACGTGATATGGTGGACTAAGCACGTAATAAGGTGACCTTTTGTATCACTCTTTCTCGACTCCTCGAGATGTCGATGGTAAAATTTTGCGTTGAATGAGGCATCTAGGCTTTCGCTTTTTAAAAAAAGAAAGAAAAACAAGCGCACAGTCCAGTTCACTTGGAGAAGCAGCACCACGTTCATAGTTCAGTAGGAAGCAAGTACTCCGCAAGAGTTCTGTTATATAGCAAATTATCCCATGTAACGAAGTGGGTGTGTGGATTTCGTGGTCTTGTCTGACTTTTGTGACTAGTATAACTTCGACAATCGCATGTGTTTTATTTAGTTATTTCATTTGTTTATACGCTAATATGCATATACACGCACTAAAGCAAAATGGTGGTCAGAAGTGCACAGGCCGCACTGACATGGGATTACATCGGATAGCGTTTTGTTCCCTCCGTGAAGTACATACAGACGGAAATGGGCAGGAATATATGGCGGCCGCAACCTACCAAATCGGCAAGGGGCGGAAGACTGGACGCTTGACTATTTTAAATTTATTTTATCCTCTGGTCCGGCTTTCTCATTCGTGTTTATTACTAAACAGTCCCTTTGGTGCTCTTGCCTTTCACCCACATGGTAGTCGATGGCCATGGTTTCGCGGAACCTACAAAGTTCAGTTCCAACCAAAGCAGCCGCATTTCGGCGACAGCGAACTTGCTGAAACGCTCAAGTGGGCATCAACAGCTGGTTTTATAATCGTTGGTGCGCGTATACTTAGAACCATGTTTAAGGGCACTGTAAGAATTTCCAAATAGGAACAGACTGGCTTTATTAAACGAATGTATTGCCTTACAAGTTCACTGTCACAATTTGTTTTGAATCTGTTCTCAATCTTCCACCCTTCGCATGTTGCAAGTTGGATCCTATCCGCAGCCTAACCAGATTCAACAGGTGCACAAACTCATACGAGCCCGATCGTTCGGGTCGTGGCGATCCCTTGTGCCATTAAGAGCACGTCCTTTGAAGCTGTCCCTCCTTGCGGGCAGAGATCGTCTCACCACGGAAGCGGAGTGGGAGGAGGCGCTCAAGAGCTCCGACCTCACCGCTAAGCTACGGGCGGAATTCAAAACTACAACAATCGTTTCACAAGTTATAATATTTTTGTAATTAACCGGACAGTCATTTTGTCATTAACCGGAAGCTTCGTCGATAGGTCTTGTCCTGCAACACCTTTCTAATTAATCATCGGATGACCTCACTATAGGAGACACCACTCGAATCCACTGCCGCAAAAACTTTTCGCGTCCTTCAAGTGCGAGCCGAGTTGCAGGGATTTGTCAGAGGGGCCACGACGCGGCGGTCAGGAACGGCCTGCCCGTCCCGACCTGAGAGACCCCCAGGCGTCTCCTCCCTTGTAAGGGATCTTTCCAAGTCACCCATGAGGATCATAATAAAGGTGATTGTCTGTCTGTCTTATTCCGTGATTTGTCTCGCTCTTCAAGCTCTCTCTCTCCTTTCATGCGAGAGAGCGCGCTGAAAAAGCTAGACAGAGAATAGGAAGAGGGCATGACCAGAGGAAAATAAGCTACATCTGTTCATCAGCACGCGTCATGAGCATGGGCAACTTGAGATAAAAAGGTGCACCCAATGACGTAGCCAGAATTTATTTTTTTTTTGGGGGGGGGAGGGGGAAGGGTGACCTTTTTGTAACGATCATTTTTCATTTCACTCATTATTTTTCGCTTTGTATGCTATGGCGAAAAAAAAAAATAAGAATGGGGAGGGCGTGTTGTAGTCACGGGTCTAGTGTGCAAACCCCTGGCAACACCATGGGTAGCCCCATCGACAAAAATTTCTGCCTGCACACGAAAGGCTGACCCCACTGCCTCAGCAATGCATTTTCAGGGGCTCACGCCTATTTACCACAACACAGCCCAGAGTGGATTATGGCGGCGCCTATGAGCCTTCTGCGAAAACGTCTACATTGGGCATTTCAGGTATCTGTGACGCCAGGCTACCTTGCGCCATCGATATACTTCCAAAGTTTTTACTGAAGTTTCGTTATGCTCTCCTATCGCAGACGAGCTCTCACTCCCAGGTGTGAGACTTCGTATGCACGGCTGAAAGTGCTAAGCTAGGCTCTCTTACACAGCGGACATCTGTCGCTTTAGCCCATCGCATCTCGAAGCGTATACGTGGTACTACAGCAGTGGTACTTGAGGGGAAAACACAACCCCTTAGAAATTAAATATAACCCCTTAGACTTCTGAAAATCACACCAAAAAGTAATGTTCACAAAAGTTACTTGTTTTGCACACGCACTCGCACACGCAAGACATGACCACGATCACTTCTCGGAGATACATGGTTATACAGGACACAAACTAACTGTGGAAATTTCGAAGTTAAAGTTTTTCAAAGGGAGTGCATTGCAACCAATATTTTGTGGCTTGCATATAAAATATACTTAGTAGATTTGATTTAACGAATACTTCAGTTTTAACCGAACTCGCTCTTTGCAAGCAACATATATGTAACTCAGTTGTCATTACTGTAGACACGTGTCCAATACAGGCCCACCTTGAGTGTGCAAAAGACCGATTCTGAGAAGTTTCGCCTGAATGACTTTTAAGCATGAAGCACTTTAGGGGCCTGGCTTGTGATCCACCCGTAGATCTCATGTGGCGTGATCACGCTCAAAATCCAGTGGTCATTATTTGACAAAAAAGGTAAGCAATAATTAAAGCTTAAAAGCAGATTCAACTGAATTGAAAACGTCTAAAATGGCATAATTAACACAAATAACCTACAAGGCATTCCAATAATTAACTTAATATTGCCAAAAACGCTTCGAAATTATGTGGGTATTTCCCGCGCCGCGCGATAGAGGGCGCCACCTCATCGCCAAGTGCACTAGTGCTTCTTTCACTTAAGGTTCTGCAGGGCTTCGTCACTGCATTTGAAGGGGGAAACAACCCGACGGAATTCTCCCGTTCCTCAACTGCCCTTACTAGCAAAAAGTCGGCAAAGCTCGGCAAAAATTAGCGCGTATGTCGCACACGTTCGGGTTTGCGAATCTCCCTAACAGGACTCTACTCGTGCCAGGAAAACACTGCACGCTTACTTCAAACAGTGACGTCATGGGATGTTTGGTAAACGAAGCAGTGGAAACTATACGAATGGGAATTGCTGGGTGCCCATGCTACGCACGTTTTCAAGCTTCAGAGTAGTGGAGCTGCATTCACCGCGAAATTCAAAACTACAACAATCGCTTCACAAGTTATGATATTTTTGTAGTCAATCGGACAGTCATGTAACGTTTTTGTAAGCGTCGTCGATAGGTCTTGTCCTGCAACACCTTTCTAAGTAATCATCGGATGACCTCATATAGAAAGAAGACTGTCGCCACTCCAACCAATTGGCGCAAAAGCTTTTCGTGTCCTTCAAGTGCGAGCGAAGTTTCAGGGATTTGTCCTCACTTTCTTATACCATTTTCAAAAAACGTATCGCAGAGCCCATTTGAAACTCAAGCCTAAATTTCGAGATGGTAGGAACAAAAAAAAAAAAAAATACTTCTCCCCCTGATGAAAAGCTAAGCAGCATAGAAGTGTGGAGCTTGGGCTAGTTGGCATGGCATGACGATAGTTATAGCGCGAGAACAAAACGACGACACAGAGACAAGAAGGACACGATCGCTAACTTCCAACTGAGTTTATTGCGCAGAGCACGAAAATATATAGAGGAGACCGTAACCATGGATCCGGACAGGCCGCCATTAAAACCTGAACTTGGAAACGTTTAACGCTAGAACCTTATCTAGTGAGGGAAGTCTAGCTGTACTATTCGAGGAGCTAGAGGATGTTAAATGGTATATAATAGGGCTCACTGAGGTTAGGAGGACAGATGAGGCCTGTACAGTGTTACAGAATGGGCACGTCCTTTGCTATCGGGGATTGGCAGACAGAAGAGAACTGGGAGTGGAATTCCTAATTCACAGAAACATAGCTGGAATACTGGAGACATAGCTGGAATACTGGAGACATAGCTGGAAACATAGAGGAATACTGTAGCATTAATGAAAGGGTGGTAGGTATTGTAATTAAACTGAATAAAAGATACAAGA